TAAAAAAATTATTATCTTAAAAAAAGTAGTTTGTAATTGATTTTATATAGACTATTTATGGTTTATAAAGTATTATCATCTATATAATTTTAAATGAAACTTTAAACAGTTATCATCTATATAATTATTTTTTACGGTTATCAACAAGTTATCATCTATATAATTATTTTATATACGGCTAAACAGTGACTTTTATAATTATTTTATAATGTTTAACAGTTATCATCTATACGGTTATCATTTTTATAAACTTTTCTATAATATTAAAGTGACTTGTTTATTATTTTTTAATTAGAAACGAAGTATATTTACAACATAAAATTTTGACAGTGGTATTTATAAATAGAAACAAAGTATTATATTTTTTTACATACTTTTGTTTATATACTTTTTAATTAAAAATGAACTATTATAATTAACATAAAAATATGACAGTGGTATTTGATGAAGTATTTATTTATTTATATTATAAACGAAGTGATGTAACCGTTTGTTCATAATTTTAATTTATTACAATCCACCTATTGTAATCATCTTGTGCATGAAGTAATTATTATAAATAAAGTATATAAATTCCCAACTCTTATATACCTCTCAGTGCTACACTCTTAAGTTAACTAATAATATTGTTAAACCAATGATGATAATTATTAAAGCAGTAAAATCGTATATACAAGATGTAGAATTATACTCCGTAAGTTAGTAATCTGTCTTTTAACTCATAAGTTGTTTTATCAATCTGGGAGTTTGACAATCTGTGTACTACTCCTCCTTATATAACTAAATGTAACAAGTTGTTTATATTTTTAAATCTATACTTGTATTTTGTTATTATTTGGTTAAAACCTAACTATTTTACTTGTCTCTTTCTATAAATTTGTTATACATTTCAATAGAATGTCTGTCCGTAGAGGTTCATTTACTTCGTTTACTTCCATGCGCGGAGGTCGGGCAGGTGGGGGTAGCCCACACACAGTCCCGGATGAGCAGCCCTCTCCTCAACCTGATTCGCATGAGTCTGTCCAATCCCGACACCTTTCTGATCATTCAAATGGTTTTGATTCTTCGATCCCTGATGAATCTGTTCCGAATAAGACCTTTATTTCACCCTTTGAAATGAGAAGGTAAAGAGTAAAACTGCATTATGTAATTCTTATTTAAAGGATTTCTACCTATATATTACTAATATGTGCTTTTACGATGTAGCAATCCTACTGTCCTCAACAACATCATTTCAATCTTGACTAACAATTTTCACGGTCCGTGGCGTTCTTATATGAATGCGGATGCCGATCAACGCAACCGTTGGTGGAAACTGTTTCAGGTATGTGAAACATACTAACACTTACTTTTGATTTGACAGATTGTGAGTTATTGCTGATCAACTTGTTTTTGAGTTTTCAGAGGAAGTATGAGTGGGATTCCTGCTTTAATACCAAAATGAAGAAGAAGTTCAAGTCTCGGGCCTCTGAATGGCTAACCAAAAACATTGGTAGAGCTAGGCGTGACAACAAAAAGCCGGACTGGATTGGTGATGGAGATTGGAAGGTGTTGCAAGAGTATTGGTCCTCTGATGCTTTTAAGAAGAAAAGCCGTGCTGGCAAGAAGAACAGAAATTCCAAAGCAGGGAAAGAATCACAGTATCGCGGTGGAAGGATACCGGTGACTGCGCATGTTGAAAGGCTGGTTAGATTTCTGTTATAATTTTGAAAAATAAATAAGAGTTTTTTATAACTATAATGAACTGGTAATTGTGTACTGTTTAAATTCGTAGACAAAGGAGTTGAATAGGCCCCCGCTGAAGATTGAAGTGTTTGACAAAGTGTACGTCCCGAAATCTGGTGACCCCCCGGCACGTGTAGTTGAAACGAAGGTATATATCAGTTTGTTTTCTTACTATTATATATTATAGTTATAGTACATTTGACTCCCCTGTTTTATAATTGTGCAGCAAAAATACAATGAAATGAAAGCCCAGGCTGAGTCTCAAGGGAAATCGTACGAGCAGGATGATTCTGAGCTGTTTTGTGCGGTGGTGCCGCTGTACAAAGGCAGGCGGTTTGGGACAGGATCTGAAGCCGAGGCGATGTCGGACGTTGAATGTTCTAGCAGGATATCGGGGCCGACTCAGCAGGAAATTGATTCCCGCATCAAGGAACAGCTGGAAGCCCGATTTGCGGAGCAGGAGAAGCAGTGGCAAACCCAGATGGCGAACATGACTTCTGTGTTTACGGCGTACATGCAACAAGTGCGAAGTGTGAACCCTTCTGTCCCGCTGCCTGATTTCTCGGACTTTCGTACCCCGACCTCTGCCCAAATGAACGGGCTGGAAGATATGTTTGTGTAATGAAAACAATTTCATTTCTGTAGTACTCCTGGACATCTTCTGGCAATTTACTTGCCATTTCTACTTATGTTTTGGCAGTGGTTTATCTGCCTGGAATGTAATAATTTCATATTATGTACACTTCCTCTTTAATTTACGTGGACTGTGTATAATGTTCTATTGCATGTGTTCTATATTGATGTGTACTTTTATTGTTGTTTTGTTACTAACAATGCAGGGGAAAAAAATGTACACCGTACATATGTACGGAATACCGTACATATGTACGGTGTACATTTTTTTTTAATACACTCATTTGGCACGGATATATCCGTACCAACAGTCCTGGTAAATTTTGAATATATGACGAAGGTTGGCGCGGACATAATCCGAGCCAAAAAAACGGGTTTTGGTTAGCCCGACCCGACAACAACCGAGCCAAATGCCGTGCCAACACAAATCCGAGACAAATTTTTTGGGTCTTGTAAACGTAGTTTGGCGTGGATATTGCCGTTCCTATTTCCGTGCCAAGGTTTGGCACGGAAAGTAAAAGCCGTGCCTACGCGTTTGGCACGAGCCAGGTGCGACGGATTCGACATCCGTGCCAAATCCGTGCCAAAAGCGATAGTCTGGGATATTTGTGAAGTGATCCGAGCCAAAATCCGACCCTATGGCGATTTTTTTTGGTTGTGTTCTTACGGCTTTTCTGCCGCAACCGCGGCAGCGGGTGCTAATTTTGCGTCTATCGTAGTTGTAATGAGCGCGGTTGATCGTCGTTTGTTTTCTACTAGGTTTCTTCCATTTGAAATTCCGTCCTTCGCCGGTTATGGAGGTGGGAGCAGGTTTAGAGTTTCTGGCAGAAGGTTAAAGCAACAGTTTTGCATGGGTAGCTTCGTGGACAAGTACAAGAAGATGGCGATTGGGGCAGAGGAAGAAATGGATCTAGATGAAGCTAATGTTGAGGTTGTGACAGATGAGCGGCGGGTGCGTCCCCCTGTTGAGCCGCCGCCATGGAGTGCAAGCAAATCTAGGATTTTGAAGAAGATGGTTGAACTCTATTTTAATTATGTTTTATTCAGTTTGTATTTTTCTGTCAATTTGCATGTTGTTTTGGATGTGTTCCTTTTTCTAGCAGAGATATTCTTAAATTTAGGTTAGGTGATGAGAAGTTTGGTTTGCTAGTCATTGACTCAGTTAAGCCCATTACAGGATCAGCGAATGTTATTGCTTCTATAGAGGTGATGGACGACAAGCATAAGACTTGTTATCATTTTGTTTACTTCTTTTTCTTTGATTGTTTTATCAACCATGTGACGAATGTTATTTTGATTTAATATATTAGTTGGATTCGATGATAAAATTTTCTTATTAAACCTTACACATATATACTATCTATCTTGGTACCAACCTTTGCAATCCCGTACTATTTCAAGACCAAGAACAACAACACCAACAAAAACAAACAAACAACACCAAATAAGACCAACATTTAATCAAGAGAAAATAATTTAAATATTTCAAACTTTGAAATAGTGTTGGATAAGTTTCTCAAACTTAAACATGTAATATATATATACCTCAAACTTTATGTAAAAATTACATTAGCACCATAATCATATATTTTTTTACAAATATAATTTTATAGTATTAAATGCATAATTTAAAATACACAAAAAGTCCATGAGGATGCAAGTAAAATTAAATTGTACCGGATGTAACATTATTTATTTTTCACAAATGAAATAATAAAATGTGAACTGCATTCTAACAAAGCTTAGAGTATTTTAAATTATGTAATTATTCTAATAAATTTGTATTTGTACAAAACATAGAATCGTGTTATGAAAGTAACTTTTTATATAAAGTTTGGAGTATATTATATATATATATATATTATATATATATATATATATATATATATATATATATATATATATATATATATATATATATATATGCAAGTTTGAGATACTTATTTCACACTCCATTAAGTTAAGAGTATTTAAATTATTTTTCCCTTAAATCAAATCAGAAGTATTCAAATTAAATGGGAAAGATTCACATTTAATCAAGAAATTTTATCATAAAATCCAAATGAGAATAGATAAAAGAATCAGATAAAATTACACTCCCTCCGTAATTTTTGTTTGCTACACTTCCTTTTCTGGATGTGTTTAAAAATTTGTTTCCCTTTTTGGTAAGTTTTTCTTTTAAAAATACTCAACTACCTTACTTTTTCTATTTTTTATCTTCGCTTTCGTACTTTTTCTACACTATTCATTATCGCTGCTATTTCACTCTTAGAAAATGTGTCAACACCTCACCTATTGCAACAAACAAAAAAATATGGTGGAGTATTTTTAGGAATAATTGATAAGAATAATCCCAACTATTAGTGATTTGCTTGAAATAATCCAAAGTATCGATTATCTCAAAATAATTCCAATTATTGAAAAAACTTCTTAAAACACTCCACTTACTCATAAATATTACAGTATAAGTTATTTGCATATAATTACAAGTCACCGGATTATTTTGAGAAGATTTTTCAATAATTAGGATTATGTTGAGAGATACTTTGAATTATTTCAAGCAGATCACTAATAGTTGAGATTATTCTTGTCTATTTTTTCTTTTTAAGGGCATGTACACGATTGTTTTGGTAATTTTTACTAATGTGTAAAACAATTTTCGTAAAATTGTACGGAGTACACTTGAAGCAACTGAATAAGAAAGAGAAGTATTTCCCGGCGCTGTGGTTAAATTTCCGGCTGTGCTCATCCACGCGTTTCCTGATCTCCGTATTCATTCATCGAGAGCGATATAGATTTGATCTTAGAGGTTGGGTAATATGAGTGTGATCGATCTTCTCACCCGCGTTGACTCAATCTGTAAGAAGTATGAAAAATACGACATCGAGAAGCATAAGAACTCCAATATCTCCGGCGACGACGCATTTGCTCGCCTCTATGCAGAAATTGAAAATGACATCGAAACCGCTCTTCAGGTTCAACTCTCTATTGCTGCTACTCGGGTGCATTTTTTATTTCAATTTTAGGGCTTACTGTTTCACTCTTTTGAAATTGAAATTCGGTTTATTTTCTTCTGGCGGTTTTAGAAAGCAGAGACTGCTGGGACTGAGAAGAGAAGCGCTTCTGTAGTAGCGATTAATGCGGAAATCAGGAGAACGAAGGCGATGTTACTGGAGAAGGTGCCCAAGTTGCAGAATTTGGCTAAGAAGAAGGTAAATTGATTTTAATTCAGCTAATTTATTCACAAAATGATATTGAAATTTCTTGTTATGCATAAAAATTGGTTGTGTCCCTTATTTTTGTGGGTTCTATATCTTTGTTTATGGATCAGCTATTTTCGCCTTATCTTATAAGGACCAGGCTGAACATGTGAACAGATTGGTTAATAAATACATTTGCAAGTATAAGCCCTAGATATAATTACTTCATGAAGTAGAAAGCGGGATAAGTGACAGTAAAAAATGGCTAAGTTTCAGACACCCTGAGATTTGTTTTCCCAATTATTACCTGGAGCACTAAATGTGCAAATGTTGATAAGAAATGTTTGCTGCAGAAAATAGCTAAAGAAAGTTATAGCAGTTTTAGAGCCCGTTTGGTAGCACAAAAATCGGCTGATTTGGCTGATTCTGCTGAAATTTATGAAGTTCTGACTGAAGTGGCTGCATTGGCTGATTCAATGCTGATTTAAGAAAAGAATATTTTTAAAATATATTATATTAATAAAATAAAGAAAAAATTATATGTAAAAATAGCTAAAATGATCATCTACAGTAACTTCAGCCAAAACAGCCAGAAAAGTAACTCCAACCTTACTTTTTCTGCTTATTACACAATTCAATGCACAAAAGCAAAAATTAAGTGTTTGGTGAAAAAGTTGGCTGATAAGCCTGATAAACCGAAAATCTGCGGTTCCAAACTGCCTCTTAATTTCTTAATTTATTAGTCTAGAAAAAATTGAAGGGAAGCTTATTTTGTGTAAAGGTCTTTTCTCATAAGTTAATTTAGAAATTTAGAAATATTCATGCTTTGAAATCCAAAGTCACATGCCTCAACCACTCAACGTGGATGTACTCATGTACTTCACAAAATCTTGAAAATTTTAATCCAATTACATGCTTCTGTTCAGTATAGGACTTGATTAGCTGGGTTCTTATGCAATAGGAGGAGTGAGATTGTAAGAAGAGACACAGATGGAGGATAGATTTGAACCATAACAGAAAAGATCAACAAAAAACTGTAATGATGTGTCAAATGTTGTATTTTTGCTATATAGAACTTGTGAAATAGTCAACAGGGTCTTCATTGTCTCTTTGATTTTTACACTCTCACTGTCCAAAAGAAAACCTCTTGCAACACTCTTCTCTGTTGAAAGTCATTTTTGGTCAAAGGTAGCCGATTTTATATGCAGCCAAAAGAGAGTAACAGACAAGTTACCTGAATAGTGAATATAGTTAGACCAAAAATGAATTTAGATGTATAAGTAGGATTAATGATATATGGATGGTTTACCTTACCTAAATTTAAAAGGTTTACTTTGGTCAAACACGATTCTTTATTGTAGTAATAATATCCTTGCCTGAGTAAAAAGAGAAGTGCCCTGTAAGTCTGTAACTGATGCATGGTGCGTCAGTACTTCATTGTTTTTGCTGGTGTCTTCAAGATGAGATGCCACAGTGATATAAACTACTCAGTATTAGTCTGAATGGGCTGGGTTGATTTCTGTTTGATATTATCACCTTTGGCAGGTCAAAGGTCTTTCAGGAGAAGAACTTGTTGTCCGTAATGATCTGGTTCTTGCATTACCTGATAGGATTAATGCCATCCCAGATGGTTCCTCTGTTCCACCTAAGCAGTCTGGAGGGTGGGGAACTTCAGGCACTCGCACAGAAATTAAATTTGATTCAAGTAAGTATTAGAATACGCCACTCTCTTGATGCTCTAAATGTATTTTCCTTGTGTATTACCTGTTCTTGGTTTTCACATCGGATGGGCTATACTTTACTACACTGCTTTTGAGTTCACTGGCAACATTCAATTTTCAAATAACTTACACGTGTTCTTGAATTATAGATGGTCAGTATGATGCTGATTTTTTCAAGCAAACAGAAGAGTCTAGTCAATTCAGGCAAGAGTATGAAATGCGGAAAATTAAACAGGCATGAGGCTTTTGTTTCTTTTACGTAGTAGTTCTTTTTACCTCTGGATTGGTGGAAAAAGCCTTACGCTTTCTTGATATGTCATATTTCTTCTAAAACATGTGTGATGTTATTGACCTTGACACCTTGTGCAGGACCAAGGTCTCTCAGTTATATCCGAAGGATTGGATACCTTGAAGGACATGGCTCACAACATGAATGAGGTCTGGCATATTTGTTTTCCATTTTTGTTTCGTCCATCACTAAAAGATATCAACTCCTGACATCACTGTAATACTTGTAGGAATTCGACAGACAAGTCCCTCTCATGGATGAAATTGACTCCAAGGTTAAAAGATCTGTCATATCTGAGTATGAAACTGTAGTAATACTATACATTTTGGCTTACGATGATTTTGACTTTACAGGTTGACAAGGCCACATCTGACCTTAAGAATACCAATGTCAGGCTAAAGGATACAGTCAACCAGGTAAATGAACTGCTTGGTATTCGATGCCCTATTGTTCCATACTCTTCTTTAATCTTCTCCTGCATGTTTGTTCCCATGTTTGTGTTGTTTTCCAGCTACGATCTAGTCGAAACTTCTGTGTTGACATCATTTTGCTCTGCATAATACTTGGAATAGCTGCCTACTTATATAAGTGAGTTCTCAGTGGACAGCACTCTTTCCCTAACATGCATTTTCGAATATTAAGTACACATTCACTTATTAACTGACTGGTAAACTATTTTCCATATGCAGCGTTCTGAAGAAGTAAACACACACTGTGAAGCCTATTTTACTGTTTAATATGATATTGCATTCTGATTTTCTTGTTGGCCTTTTCATGTTGTGAAAGTCTTGCCAGTATCTCTCTTAGCAGAAGTCCTCCACAATTTGTACCCACATCTAAATTCAATTCCTTTTTTCCTTTCTTTTAAGTTGGGTTTCATTGTGCTCCCGTGTGGCTGTGTATGTGATCTAACTGCTGGGCTTTCTGAGTCATTGTGTATTATAAGAAGCTGCTGTGTTGGTTTATATTGTTTGCAAAACAAAATACATTGGCCATATATTGGTCCGGTTCTCATTCATATATGTGGTGGGACCTTGCCGGTTGTCCCAAAGGTGTCTTTTTATTTGCTTTTCTTTGGGATCGCGTCCACTGACCACTGCTACAAGTGGTGCCTTAATGGATATTTATATACTATTTGGAGACTGACGGGGGTGGGAGTGAGTTTTTTGCATCATGTTTTCAAAAATATTGCAAATAATATGAATAATGCTTCATTTTTTTTGCTCGACAACTTGAGTTGCCGGGTGCTTATAAGAGTTCTCTAGATCTCCTATTTCCTCGCTACAATTCCTCTGGATGTTGCCTAAATTTGTCTTTCTGATTTGATGAATGACTTTTTAAATCGGCTCATCGAGTCCAAAGACTCCAAATAGCCAAAAAGTTGGCTTGTTGAAAATGTTTTTTTATAATAACGCTTTCATTGATTAAGGAGCATAGGTACACACTACATAGTACACCCTGGATACACCCCGGGATTACACCATGCAACATACAACTTAACATTAGCAAGGTTATGTACTGCTAGTCTGCTACATTCACTAAATGATTTACATGCTTAAAGCCTTGAATGAACTACAATCAAAACCATTTGCAATCAACTTAATATCAACAACCATCGAGCCCATTAGAGAATGATCTTGTAGACTTGTACAAATGTACAATTGACTCCTCTGTTCTAAAAATCGTTCTAGGCGCCCGCCTAGGCGCTAGGCGGTGGTCGGGCGCCCCGATTTTCGTCTAGGCGTTCCGACTAATTGGTTTGCCATCTAGGTGAATTAGTCGGCCGCCTATGGCGCCTAGTTGCCCGCCTAGAGCGCCTAATCGGCCGCCTAGGCCGTCTAGATTCGCCGAACATTACTTTACTTTTTAATTTTAACTTTCTAAGCGATATACATACTTTAACTTTAGCCATGAATATAAAGAAATGAAGTTGTAAATTAAGATAAAACTATATATGTTTGTATGTATGCCTAAATTTTATCGTTATTTATATTTATAACATAATGAAGTTAAGTAATTAGTTATCATATACTACGTATGATTAAATGTGATAATTCTATCATTCATGTTTGTTAATGTATATGTATATATGTATTTTATACACACAAAAATACAATATTACTTATCATATTTATGCAAAAATATAGATAAAAATGCAATTTGTATGTCTCCGACTAGTTCCCGACTAGGCGCCCGCCTAGCCGCCTAGGCGCTAGGCGTTGGGCTGGCGCCCGACTAGCGCCTAGCGCCTTTTAGAACATTGATTGACTCTATTGAGGTTTATTCCCTTGGTCCAAAAACCCAACATAGTATTTTTGGTGGTTGGTTGATTTGGGTGTTTGGAATATGTAGTACACTAGTACATATAGATCAAGATGTAAGTCATGTAACACAAGATCAAGATGTATATGGTTAGGCTTGGATCCGGTTCGGGCCACCCGGCCCGGGCCCGGTTCGGGCTTTATTCTTTTTTTTTTTTAACTTTCCGGGTTGGGCTGGGTGGTATTTTGGGTCATTTGGGCTGGTTTGGAGGGGTGGGGGTGAGGGGGGTCGGGGCCCGGGGGTTAATTAGAAAAAGCAAAAATAAAATAAAATATAAACTGACCCGAGGCCTCGCCCGACCCGCTGGCAATTGGGGCCTTACCCCAATCACAAAAGGCCCGGCCGGGCCTAGGCCCGGTCCTATGGGTGGACCGGTTCCGGTTCGGGTCCGGTTCGGGCCTAGGCCCGACCGGGCCTCGGTTCAGAAAAATGAGGCCCGAGCCCGAACCGATGGTGGGCGGTTCCGGGTCCGGTTCCGGGCCGGGCCACCCGGATTTTTAATTTTTTTTCTTCTTCTCTTATTTAACCCCCTACCCCTCCCCCTCCACCCCAAACCACCTCAAATGGCCCAAAATATCTAATCCAACCCAAAACTTTAAAAAATTTCAAAAAAAAAAAAAATCCGGCCCGAACCGGGCCCGGCCGGTCCGGTCCGGTTCACTAAACTGGAGGCTCGGGCCCAGACCGCTATACCACCGAGCTGGGTGGCCCGAACCAGGCACAAACCGGTTCACTGGGCCGGTCCGGGCTCGCACAGTAGCGGGCCGGTCCGGTTCCGGGCCGGTTGGCCCGACCCGAGTCCATCCCTACCCGGGCCCGATCCGGCCCAGCTCCATGCCTATATATGGTCCTTGTTATAATAAAATACTGATAGACATTTAACAACAATTATGAATTCGGGTTAAAGTGCTATATTGATTGTTACAATACGAGTTTAAGAGAGGAGAGAGTAAATGCCATTCATTGCTACTTTAGCTCCCCCAACACATAGTAAATGAGTCTATTTGTACTACACATAAGGTATATGCTTATGACGCGTCAGTGTTCCATTGGCTGAGCCATCCCATTGTACCACTTGCTAGTTTTTACTGCCCATACTTGCTCGGCCCATGTCTCTTATTTAATGTGGTCTCTGGCTCTCTGTCAATACATAGGCGTTCTTGTCAATTCCATCACGAGTTGACTAGACTTCTGAGGTATTGATGCAAGAAAGGGGACTACTCGTCTTGCACCGACTCGTCCTGCACTGACTTGTTCTGCCTTGTGTATGGCATCCGCCCGATCATGGGGACGTTCCCCCTTTTCCTCTGCTCCCGTACCTGCCCATCGAGACTCGACCCTAGTGGGCTCAATCATCCATCATTTTACTCGCCCAAGTTATGTGGACCTTCCGATCTTCTCTTTTGGCATTAGGAAGCGCATTGGGGTGCCTTCCTACGGTATTGCGCTGACCCAACTATTCCATTGGTCCAATATCCTAATAGACTCAATGCATTGAACCATGGATAAACAAAAGGACACTCGAATGATCTTCAAGTAACCTTCTTTGACGTGCACTTTGTCGTGGTGTGCCGTCAAAATAAATATCAATACAACAATTATACGTAGTATAACGAAGTAAGGTTCGTATCCACAGGGAAAAGAATATTTCTCTTTTTAATTAACTAGTAACAAGGGGTTTTTTAGATTGAGTGAATGAACTTAAATTATATTTAAACACAAAGATGAACGAGTTATGTGGTTTAATTAATTAGAATAAGACTTGGCTTTGCTTTTATCCACTTAATGAAATGTTCGTCGATCCCGGTTATATCTTTAACTATCTTCCTCTCGAATACTCAATCGAGGAGTATATCCAATTCATCGAGGGTAGTTATTAATAACGAGACGCGTTCATTAATAAAACCTACTACCGAGTTAATATAGAACGCGCGCCGTATATTCACTCGATAGTAGCAATAAAGTCAAGATGAAAACGATTGAGATTGATAACCTCAACACAAGCGGTTTATTGGTTTAATCAATATAATTAATTCCCATTGGTTTATTAACCATGAAACGCATGCATTAATAACCCAAGTTTACTACCGTGAAAGGACCGAATTAATAACAAGCGTATTAATCGACCGATTCTAGTAATAATTAATATATGAAACAAAACTAGTTGATCCTTTAAGAATGTTCAAGATATTAATATGAAATATGAATAGGAATTAATTAATACTCAAGGAAGAATATTAAAGAAGATGAATCCTACTATAGTTAATATCAAGATGTTAACTAATTGTCATCTTAGTAACACTCCCCAATATTAACATAGAGGAAGAAATAGCTATTACTATAACTAATGTCAAGATGTTAACTAATTGTCATCTTAGTAACACTCCCCAACATTGATATAGCAATAGTATTTAAAGGAAGAATTAATATTCATGGAAGAAGATTAAAGAGAATAACTCACAACTTACAAATTCATTAAGCTTCAAAGTAGCAAAACCAAGATGGAAAAGTTTAGCTCCTCATTTGGAGACTAAACATGATAGAAAATGTAAAGAAAACACTAATCTAAATTGAGCTAAAGAGTATATGTGAATTCGTGGTTTTATTGTGAAGGAAAGGGGTGTATTTATAGGCTTTTGGGAGCTGCAGGGTCTGATACCCGACCGGGTATCTCAGGAAATTGCCCAGAAAGTCACTTTTCTGGGCATACCCGATCGGGTAAGGGTATATACCTGATCGGGTATGTGACAAATCTTTATGAAAATTTGCTCCCACGATCATTTGTCTTCGGATTTGATTTGGACAGTCGAATCAAGCAATTACCCGATCGGGTATAGGCAATACCCGACCGGGTACATGAGTATTTTTTCCAAATCGAAATCTTTCTTGTCTCCTTGCACTTTCCTTGATCTTTTAAGGTCTAATCTTGATCCCTTAGATTGATCTTTGACCCGTTTAGCTCAGAAAAATCATAATCTAACTAAATTACAAATAAAAATGAAAATAAAGTATTACACCAAAAGTGTGTAATTTCCACAACTAGAACTAATAAAAACTAGTTAAAAATACAAACATACAATCGGAAATTACATGAATATCATTCCTCCTAAGAGAGAGCTAGCACACGCCTAATGGCCAACGTTTGAGTAAGTTTTGGTGTGATGACCTCCCATGTGGTGAGAATTCGGAAACACAAAAGCATCCATGCTGACGGTGGAACCTTCTAGGAGCTGAAGAGAGGGAATCACACCTTGAGGCATGCATTTGCCGGTAAGGCAATGTTGCACTATAATATCCACACAACCCTTCACTTTCTCAGCCACCCTTTTAGAATGCATAACAAAATTGCTATCACACACATCATTCTGCGGTCCCCAAATGTGGCAAATATGCCGTAGGTTGCACGGATACGGGTACGCCGATACTCGGATACGCGGATACGAGTACGGCGATACGGCACTTTCAAAAATTATAGGATACGGGTACGGGGGTATATTTATAAATAATAAAAATATAGGGTATAATTTGCAAATATATATAATTCAGGGGTTCATAAATAAAATAATAATAGTACAAAAAATTAACTATTATAATAAAGTTTCAAAGATTAGTCTAAAAAAACTAAAGTATTGATATTTTTATTTAAATTCAAATAACATTCTTTTATTCTCTATTTGCATTTACATCTAAGTCTTGTTTTAATTAAAGCTCATCAAGCAATGAAATGACAAATTATAGTATTCCATTATTTTCCATACTCCCGAAACCATCTTTATCAATGTTCTACATGTTGTGGTCGCTTGGGCGGCTACTGAATTTTCGTCATGTCGTGTATCAAATGAGGGGTTATAGGTTCGGATACGCGTATCGGTTCACGGATACGGGTATCGGAAGTATCGATATTTTTAAAATTAAGCCCGATACTTTTATTAAATTACGGATACGGACCCAATACGTACAGGACGCGTATCGGTGAGTATCGGATACGGATACGTATCGGATACGCGGATACGGCATCGAGGTGAAGTATCAGTGCAACATAGGTAGCAATATAGTGGTGTCAAGAGCAAATTCCCTAGCTTGGAAATCGAATAGCCACAGTCAAACATACTCAAAGCATTCCTGCATAATGTGTGGGGTGTGTGTCCTCAGAGGTAATCAAATTGAATTCGCAAATGGGCACATCATAAAGGATTAAAGGATTATAATGTTCCATACATTCAAGGGTGTTGTAGAAGACGACACAACTATCACCAAGCACTGAGATATGACTCCTGGTAGATGAAAACATGTAGGTAAGCAATCACGTGCAAACCATCACAAAAATGACCTTCATTTTATTTGGGATCTTAGTCTTCCATAATACTTTCAAACTTTTCTCCTCATCCAAAACATTAGACGGTAAGTCGTGACTATTTACACTTCTCATAGTCAAGAAAAAATTAGATCGAGCTAAAAAGTAGGTTGATTTGAGCGTATATATGGCATGTTTATCATGTCCACCTTGTTAACTATAATGGGGAGCTTCAAAATCTGATTTACAATTCCCCCATCAAAGAGACTCTAGACCACATCCACAGCTCACTCCGTATGTGCACCATTCATCAAGAAATGAAATGTAACAATAATATTAAGGATTGACAAAGTAACAAAGAGAGAAGCATAGTCGTGTTGATTGTGGCTCCATGCCTCCATTGCCAACCCTCCACCTGAGAAGCTCCGACCTATAGTTTCTCTCGCACTGGCTAAATCGTTAGGGCCCTTGTAGTATGTTGATTTTTGAAACAGTTGAATCTTGAAGAATTTGGACAAAGCATGACTGATTACCATTTGAATTCCAGTAAGCTATGTTGCACGGTTGATGCAATTTGTTGAGCATTTAAGGGTTGAATTTGATGAAGTCTACAAAAATTGATGAAGCCTCAGGGCAAGAAACCAAAACGCATTTCCATTTTAGTTAACTAGATCTATAAATGTTACATTTTTTCTTATTTTTTTTTTGTAATTTTGATAAATAAATGTGTTTAAATTCTCAACTAATTTACAATGACTTAATATTTTAGGATTTTTAGCTTGTACTTTTTTAATTTTTAAAAAAAAGTATTAGTATTTTCATCCTTTTCACTTTCTTAATTTTAAAATCAAGATTTCATTTTTTAAATTGAATTTGTACTTAATTTCAATGTAATTTTCCCTTTGATGAAACATGCATAGATAGGACATTTTAAAATGAGTATTGCATCTACTTCGTATTAGTAATTTGCAAAAATCATTTGACGACCTTCCCGATCGAATTTTGAGCTGAAATTTGGTATGGACAAACTAGACTTGATGAGGAACATGCTCAAAAAATTTCATCAAAAAATTCCACTGGGAAGGTGCCCAAACGGGCTCGGCCGGACGGGGCAGCCCGTCAGGCCGGCCTGATGAGATGATTTCTCTAGTAATTAATAAGCTCAAAATTTCAAGGCCACAACCACACGCTGAACCCACGACCTGATTCTCCTTCGTCCCAACACCCAGCGAGCGAGCGAGCAACAGCGGAAGAAAATCCAAGGACTTCAGCGAGCGAGCAGATCGACGCCTCCTTCATCAGACCTAAATACTCCTCACCGATCGAGCAGCAAGGGAAGAACAGAACTAAATACTCCGTAACATTTACCATTACTAGACACCTGACATGATACATGAGCGGCTTCTTTCTCTTCCCCAACCCGCTCATCCGCGTACCAGAACCCCAGAAGCCACCTGAACCCTAGAACTGCATTTTCAACCCCATGAAACTGCGCATACCTATGCGAAACAAGCTTCTCTCGTGTCCTGCTTAGTAGTTAGTTACAATCTGCAAGTCCAGAAACCTTAGTTATAGGAGGACCCTTCTGAAGAACGATGTCTCTCCCACCTATGAAGTGCGTTTACATGACCGAAGATTCCATAAAAGAATTGAAGAATGGAAACTCCACCTTCAAATTCTCTAACCCTGTGCCAAACCTTCGCTTTCTGTACGAGCTCTGCTGGATTATGGTATTTATTCACATTTTCTTAAATTCTCTTAATCTCCATTTATTATCATTCATTAAATTGATTGGATGAATTATATTACTATTCTGGATTCTTTCACCTTAAATTCCAGTAAATTCATAAAGTTTCCTGGTAATTTTTGTTGGTGCAATGCAGATTAGAGGAGACTTGCCATTTCAGAAGTGCAAAGCTGCATTGGAGTCTGCTGAATTTATTGATTATGTTTGCCAGGATGAAATTGGATCCAATTTAGCTGATATTGTGACCCAAATAGCTCAAGATGTAAGAACGGTTTCCCCCTTTTTTTCCATCTGTTTTTAATATTTTATTTGAGGATGCCGATTTTTCTTCCACTTATATTGTCTTGATCATAATATTCTGGTTGGGCATCTAAACAGTTAAGGACATAATCAGTAGGTTTAGTGCCCGAATGGTCAGGGTTTTTACATGAGAACAATGTCTTGTGTCATTTTCAAAGCTAAATTGTCAAGATAGGGATGGGAGGGGGATAACAGTTACATTGTCTTGCCATGTGCTACAAACTACAGTGATACTTTTTTAGGTTTCTGTGTCTGAAAAAGCACTACTATTGGATCTTGTATTCTAGTCTTTCAAAACTATTTTGTAGCATAGGCCTTTGTTAAAACTCTGCATTTTGTGGTCTTTTTTTGTGTGACTTGCACATTGATTTCACAATGCCAATCTATTGACCTGACATGACCACAACAATAATCTCAACTCATTGTCTTCTCATAATATGCTTTCCATTCTTGCAAAAATAACCTAAATAGCTTATGATGGTAACAGTTGTGAAATTTTATCTTATTATATTTTCGTAAAAAGGTTGCACCAGGAAAGGCATCCAACATAAAACTTTGCCACTGTTATTTGCATGAACGATTGAACGTACAGTATTAACAAATTGTAGACAATTAATTAGGACTTAAAATTTTGGAAGTGATCCCCACCAGCTGGGGGTTGAGGTGATGGACTGATTGTAAGATTTTGCATGACAAGATTGATGGATACCTATTAATTTTTCACTAGAGATAAATGTTAAACGTTGGTTGGGAGAGGCTTTCATACTAATATACAGCATTTTTTGTACTATGCAGCTCACTTTGTCTGGAGAGTATCGTGCACGTCTCATCAAACTGGTTAGTATACATTAATGTTTTGAATCTCTTACTAATTACTATAGTTCTTTTTATTACATTTATATTTGCCTAAAATAGATCCTCAGTAGTCACTACTCACTAGTCAGTACAACCATTTACACAAATATTATGATGTCCTGGAGCATTCATTGGTCCATATTTCTCCCAAGCTATATTTTCAACCCCAATATGATCTCATGCATAAAAGTGGATCTTCCATATAATTGTATTTGGATCCTGCTGAAGAAAAGATATACACTCATTAAGAATCGTCTTATGATTCTTAATTTACCAATCACTTGAAAAAAGATCTTTCCCTTTGCGCTCGCTACTGGTTCAATTTGAGGCATTGGTGATAGTATGATTTTGTGGCAAGGTTTACTAAGTATGTTGTTCATGAGGTGAGGCTATGTTTAGAAGGGATTTGTGAAACCTTGATTGTGCTTTGAGTTTCTTTTACTTATTTCGTTGTAAATGAAATTTTGTGTTCTTTTCCATGGAATTATCAGTTTCAGCCTTTCAGGTATATTTAGCAACTCTGTTATTCATGCTGGCAGAAACTCCAGAAGTCAATTTATAAACACAAATACATTTCACTCTCATAGTTCTTCTTTAGTAAAGCTAAGGATTATTAGCTTTATTTATCCTTAACTATCATCAAATTCACAAATCTATCCTATTCTTTAACTTTATTCAAAAATAGACTCAAACTTCAACTTTTCTCACAATCACACTTTCAATGGATTAATTATTAAATATTGAAGAAGAAAATCTTATTTCTATTTCATTTTTTTGCATTCCATTGTAACTTTAAGTTGGAAAACTCGTATTGCTTAAATTTTTTATACAAATCCACATTTCTACTATGCATTTAAAAAAATACAAGTGGTGAAATTTATATTACTTATAATAAATCACATTATAGTAATAACATATGATAGATAACTAGAAAATTGAAATTGTAACATACAACTATAAAAAGTCAGTTCAAAGTTTTCTTGGTAACAAATATTTTTATTAAACAATAAATATTAGTGATTAACTTACTTTAGCTAGTTCTATAAAAACATAAATATACGTACTAGTTAATTCACTGACAAGTAAGAATATCATTTTATATTAATTTTATAAATTCTTTTAGAAAATTGTACGTTAGAGATTATTATATAAGATTAATATTTTAAGATTTGATTAAAGTTCTTGCTAATTCTTGGAAAAAATAGAATTAAATAATTGCTAAAAATACATAATTTATAAGTATTTAAAAAGTATTGAGATTGATATAATTTGTAATTTTGAAAAATCACAACGGGAAAGTGTAATTGTTACAAAAGATGAAGTTTGAGCCCTTTTTAATTAATAAAAGTTAAAGAATCGGAAAGATTTGTGAATCTCAGGATAGCTAAGAGATATAATAAGCTAATAATCCTAAAGTTAATTGTGTGGGAATTCATTTCTCATTAAATTAATTTTCATAACATACTTAGTGCATTGTGCATGCATTTCATTTTAGATCTTCCCCATTTTCTCTTTTGGTTGAATTCTATTTTTCTCTTTTTTGGTTTAGATGTATTTTCTGGTTAGATTGAAATATGCCAGTCTTCAGTGTGATGGTTTCAAGAGCAATAATGAAGGTGATGCAGCCATTTATTGTTGCACACACTTTGACTAAATTTTTCCAAAAGTGGAAATATCCATCCCATCTTTAAGTAATAGTAAAGAAAAACTGTCATAACTTCCTGTTCAAACTGCACCTATCTCTTCAAGTATATATATGTTCCTCCAAAACAAAATGTTATGTGTGTAGAACTGGTCCTATTATTTTTGACCTCTTGTCTGCAACATAAAGCAAATGTGAGTAATTTTACTTTGTCAGTTGTTTCATATTCTATTGCCATATTTAAATTCTGGTCTTATGGACAATCAATTTTATCATATTTTTCTCACCGACATTTTTCTGTTACCAGTTTTCTTATATCTTTGATATCTTGTTTATGCTTTCAGGCGAAATGGCTGTTGGAATCTGCATTAGTACCTTTAAGATTTTTTCAGGAGCGCTGTGAGGTATCTTTAAATGGTTTAAAATCAGTCACACATTATGATATCTGCTGTGGTTGTTGACTTGAAACCATATGGCATTAAGAAATGCTTATGCACGCTCTTTAATGATTCAAGGAAGAATTTCTCTGGGATGCTGAAATGACCAAGATAAAGGCTGCAGATTTGAAGTCAAAAGAGGTAATGAACTCTATTAGTTGATACCGTAAAGTATTAGGTGATTTACTTGTTACATAATTTTATTTCAGCAGAAAGGTCTCCAGTTGCCTCATAGATGCTTCATTGTACTTGCCTGCTTGGAAAAATTTGATGCATGCATACATTTACTTTCTGTAGACAGATATTCGGTTGTTACTTATATGTTTTAGTGTATCACATGCCTGTTGGTAAATGTCAATGAATGCATTATTGCATCTTTTCCTACCGTGGGTCAAAATGTTCTCTGTTTTTGATTTACTCTTGGTTGTAAATAGCCCCCCTAACTTTAGGTTCTTTAACGTTAATTAGATTGGATAGTCATTTATCGTACTTGTTTTGTGTGTCTGCTGAGTACTGTGTTCACTGTAGAAGTGAAATATATTTTTATCCACTATTGCAATTTTCATGAAACAGTCCTGTAAAGATTCTTATTATATTCTTTTCATTTGGGGTTAGGTGAGGGTAAACACTCGCCTTCTCTATCAGCAAACAAAGTTTAACCTTCTCCGAGAAGAGAGTGAAGGATACTCCAAACTGGTACATCTATTTTTTTCCTTCCCACGAGTTGCTTATTTATATGTATTGCTCTTCTATCTTTTATTTTGTATTGAGATATGTCATGTATGCTCTCCACTATGTTACTTTAAAGTTTAAAGTAAGCTCGATGAGAAGTGCAGACTCAAGAGAAAAGAATAGAAAAAACATTCTGTAGTCATTTTACGCGTTTTCTAATCAAATATATATTTGGCAACATGAATTTGTATATCTGACATGCCATCATGTGCTTTACTTTCTTGCTTTTAAGTTACACTTAATTTGAAATGCGAAGGCAGAAGGAAAGCTTGATGTGGTCTGAAAACAATAATTCTTTTGCACAAATATTCCATGGTGTTACTCATACTATGGATACTTGAAGTCTTGAACCAGTCTTCCGGTGACATTTTTCCTGGCGAAACGCTCCATAATCTCTTGACCTGCCGCCAATCCCCTCTGAAATTCTTCATTTATAATTTGCAATGGAACCAAAGATTCACTATTTTTTGGCTTCTGAATATGATGGATTAAAGAAAAATGGCTCACTAAAATGTCCGCGCTTCTTTGTTATGAAACAGTAGTCAGCGCATGCAATTTCCGACGCGATTTTCACCATGGGTCATTGTTAGGGACCTACCCATTAGGGTTATATTAATAATAGAAGTAATAATAATAATAAAATTAGTAATAAGGGTCTCTATTATAAATAGATGGGAAGGGGGAGTAGTAGAGCAGGCTTTTAGATGATTAGTCTTGGGACTGGGAAAGATCGGAGACTAAACATCTCTATCTTTTGGGGCTTCGGCTTTGGGGGCTTCGGTCAGTGTCTTCTCCTGTAATCGATCACTTTCATCAATAAATTTTCAGTTGATTTCTTGTTAATTTTCGGTAATTGTTCTGGAATTCTGGAGGTTCCTATCAGTCATCCGGGAACAGTCTCTCCCTGCTTTAGTACAGGGGTAAGACTGCGTACGTCCGACCACCCCTTACCCCACCGTAGGTGGGAGCCTTTGCGGCACCGGGGTAATGATGATGATGATGATATTTTGCAATATACTACGTGTTAGTTCCTTTTCAATCTAAAAAAGGAAAAAACTTATTCTCCCACCTACCAGTAGCCTAATTCCTCCTAAGACTTGATGTTCAAATTGTTTGTGTGTAATGATTATGATATGATCACCATCTATTATCACCAAGGTTGTTAAAATCGCGATTTGAATCGTAAAATCGTATGATTTTACGATTCAAGTTTGCCCAAACGTTTCAAATCGCTTATAGTATCGAATTTAAACTAAATCATACAAAATTGTAAATAAAATCGTTCAAAATCGTACGAATTGCGATTTGAATACGATTTTACGATTTAGTTTTTTATGCCCAGACCAACTAAATCAGGCCCAGAGCAAGCCCGACTCTCGCCCATCAAGCCCAGACCACTGTCTCTGTTGCTCAAATTTCGTGTGTGGAAGACCGGATTATATAGGACTATTGAGAGCAGAAATCTCCTTCTTGTACCGGTGTGGGATATGAACACATCAATGACTTTAGAAAGAGCACAAATTTTACAAAATACTTCGTTACTGCAGGGATTCGAACTTGCGTATAATTTTCAAATCCACTATAATTAACTAACAAGCAAGTAACAAGCAAAGAATGCAGTTAAAATTGGAAGTATCAATTACGTAGTATACATTTAGTATTATACGAAGTACTACATACTACATATTCCTTAGAGCATATACACAAAATTTTTATTATTAACAAAAAAATGTAAAACTAAAACTTATTGTGTAACTTAATAATTTTAAATTGTGGGTTTCCTATAATCTAATATTTTAAATATATTTATTTTTTTATTTTTATTTTTATAAAATCTTACGATTTACGATTCGATTTTACGATTCGATTATTAAATTGATGTACCGATTTGATCCAAAAATACGATTTTTACAACCTTGATTGTCACATTCATGATTATCTGGATCTGATAACAATGGAACATCACCCTCATTCTTTCACTTTCAGAAAGATCTTCAATCTCACCCGTTTCATCTTCTTCTGACAGCTTATTTTTTGTTATTGCCCTTTAGTTGTTCCCCTCTTCCGCAGTTTTCTGACTCCATCTTACGTTAGTTGAGCAGTTTTTCTGGCTTTACCTTAGCTAGTGTCTTCATTTACAACCTATTAGTGTTTTTATTAATATTATGGGCTGGGTAGCTACTTAATTAATGATCAGGGCCAAAACCCAAAAATAACCAAGTAAACCTGCTAAAATTTGTTCAAAATATGGCGCACATGGCGTGGCGATGGCGCAAAAATGGCGCCGCCACACGTTGAATCATCGCCATTAGTTTTTTTTTGTGTGTGGTGAGGAGGCTTTGTATCACCATATGGTGCATATGGCGCATGCCATATTGCGCCATTGACAACTATGTGGTCAATACTGCTTTGTGCCAGGCCTCACTATTCACTACATCATTGCACCTTCTAGAATTGTTGAAGACTTGAAGTTAAGTCAAATACTTACAGAAGCCCCAATTCCTCTACACCAACAAAGCTACAAGAGTGCACAGCTGAGGAGAGTGTATTGCTGTCTTATTGCTGCCAATGCGAGAGTTTCAGATCTTAATAACTTTCTTCTTATTCTGTCATTTGCCCCTCTTCTACACATGTTTTCGTACCACTTTTCTTTTTAATTTGGGAAAAATAAATTCAATAAAAGACTAACAACCGTTTTCCCTCTCAGCTATATGAATTTGTGATAGGATATCTCATATCTGTGGTGATGTCTACTTGCGTGAGTTGTCCTTGTGTACCCTTCAAGAATTACTCCTTGTGGTATTTGTAGTGATGCTGCCTGCCTGCCTGAGTGCCCATCTTTGCTAAGACACCGAGTTTACTAAATTTTGCTGTAATTTTATGTGCCCATGTGGCCACGTGTACATATATTAAATATTTTATATTTTATATTATATTTTATTTGAGCTTGTATCTTAACATGGTACCATTCACGATTCAAATGACATGCCTTGCCATTGCCATCGCCATCAATGACTTAAATCTCTATCTGGATAACCATGCTACCGATAGCATTGGCTTATTTTTAAAATTTCTTAAGAACCATTCAAGGAGCGTTGTGAACTACTTAGATTTTTGTATGGCGCATCTACTTTGTCCTTATTAAATATATCTGGTTTTTGTTTTAAGTAAGGTTTCAACTTTAAGTGGACATTATTTTGTGCCCAAACTCTTTCTTATTTTGTTGATCCAGTCACACTAATCCTTGGTTTACCATGGTTTGTAGGTTACTCTACTTTGCCAGATTCCTGAAGCTTCTAGCAGAAACGTTTCAGATGCAACAGTTGGGATAATTAAGGTGTTAATTTGAACACAGCTTTTGTATTCATGTATTTTGTATTGACCATGTTTCTAATATAAAGTTTTGTATTCTACAGTCATTAATTGGACACTTTGATTTGGACCCGAATCGAGTATTTGACATTGTACGTTTTATGCTTAAGTTATTGTTTTTTTTATAGTACTTATAGAATCCTTTCTTGAGTTTTTAAGTGGTCCATAATGTTATAGGTTTTGGAGTTTTTTGAATTCCAACCTGATAACAGAGTATATCTGGACCTCATCCCTATATTTCCAAAGGTATGAATCTTGTCTTTCAATATTATTGGTTCCTTTATGATTTTATTGAATGAACTATTGCTATGTGATGGTGTGCAGTCTCATGCCTCCCACATTCTTGGTCATAAATTTCAATACTACCAGCGCATGGAAGTCAATGATCATGTGCCATACGGTCTCTACCGGCTAACTGCTTTGCTGGTTAAGAAAGGTTTTATTGATCTTGACAGCATGTAGGTCTCTTTTACTTTCCCTCTCTCCCTTTACTATGATTTGTATTACAAGTTGCTTCTGTATGTCATCAAATTAGTCAAAACCTTGATACAAGGGCTTGAACATGAGTTCTTCATTTGCTCCTCTTGTTACCCTTTTTGCATGTTCTCTCTTGGAACTAACCTCATTTTATATTTTCCCACTCTTAAGATGATTAAGTGTAATAAGTAATTCCCATATGTGGTCCCCTAAGAAGCACGGAAACTTCCCATGGCTCATGTTTCCCTGCTTCAAAAACCCATGAGCACGTGAGACATTTCGCAACTTCAAATTCCCGTTTCAGGACCTTTTCCATAATGAAAAAGAATTGGGAAATCCGTATCGCTAATAAATTAGGGGTTCAGGAACTTGTTTATAAACATCAAAGACAAAAATGTGACTTGTTTGTAAGTTTTTCAAAAATGTGATTTACCATATCATTTATGCCCTTATTTAACATCAGTATATCACATTTATTATTGTAATATTCGTTTTTTATAATTGGTAATTAATCATTGCTTTCTAGCCACCTCAATGACTGTTACCACCATCACGGCCGCCACCGCCGTTAGTGACCACATGATAACTAACATGAATTACACAATGACTAAATAACTACGTACTTAGTTATCAGTGATACTGACTAACTTATTATCACATTTCGGCCATATCGGCTCCATCCTAAATCACCAATTACAATAACCTCGCAACCGTAGTCACTGGAGCCCCCCGTCACCATAAAAATCCATCACAAACCCCATTAGTGACCATCCGCCACCGCCGTGACTCGTGTCTAGTTACTCGTGACGCCGTAACTATAGTTATTAGTGGAGCCTCCATACCTGCAAAAATCCATCACAAACTCAATTAGTGACCATGTCTATGGTACTAATGGGCTAGTCACTGAATCCAGTTTATCGTAGCGGATCATCTTTATCCCACAAACCTTAGTCACTAACCGGTACACCGCCTTAATTTCAAACCTAAAGGAAGAAGGAAGATGGAAGACAGAGAAAAGAGGAGTCTAGCTTCAGGCCTCCAGCCAAAGTTTTGTGCTCAATTCTGTCGTGTGCTGTGTGTTTTCTTGTTATTTCTTGTTTTTACTTATTAGGAAGTGGAGACCTGTGGGAGTAAGTAGTTAGAAAAGAAGAGCTCTATTGTGGGGTCAAAAGGGGAGCTTGAAATCGGGATGAACCGCAATTTTACGAGTGTATCACGATTTTAACAACATTGATTCAACTATTAATCTGAACTTCTGAAGGATGCAGAAGCATGGGTTATCCCTTTCTTTATCCTAAAGTACTAGTTTGGTAATTAATCTGAACTTTGGGTGATATATATTTCCCCGCAAAACGGAAAACTGAACTGATCTGAGTAGTAATACTATTTTGATGGAATCCTTTAATATTTCAAAGATACATGTTCTTATGATCTGCGGTGTATATGTCATAGCGCACCTTCAGAGTTGTAAAACCTGGAATTTTCTTGTCTTTGGCGATTGACGTTTCCCTTTTGAGCTGCTTTTCTGTGTGACTTTAAAACTGTAAACCTTTGAAGTTTCATATACTTGCTTAGTTGCTTATAACGTTTTGCACTTGAGATATGTGTATGTGTGATTTCAATGCTTATAATGTTATATGCATTTGAGATACGCATCCGTGCGAGTTGAATGCTTCTCAAGCTTTCTTATTTGGGATTCTAAACAGAAACACATTCTCTTTCAGATATGTACATTTACTTCCCAAGGATGAGGAGGCATTTGAGCATTATGCCGTATCCTCTGCAAAGAGACTTGAGGAGGTAGGTAATTTGTAGATTATCCAAGTGTTATCATTTCATTTATGCATGTTTTCAAAATTATCATTGTACATTTTATTTTCTATATTTCACCCATGACCATGCTTGTGTGGCATTTTTTCGGACAGTTTAATCCCATCATTTTCTTCCTGTAAGGTGATTCACTTCACTGGCTTACTGCGTTAGGGATTTTCTTTTATGTCTCCAGTCTGTCATGCTCCAAGAACCTCAATAATATAATTTTGCCTTGTGGAATGAAAAAATCATTTTAATTGAAATGAAGCATCTTGTGCTAGTGGAGAAGAGCCAAATGAAATGAAGAAGTCTTTAGAAGAAGACCTCAAAGAAATCTCAGATGATTGTTTAATGGGTAACATACTTTTGAGGAGGTTTAGGATTTCAGTGAGCAAACGAATATCAAGCCCAAGGTGCACGTGGCTCACATGCCTCAATCTTGTAATGCACCAGCCTTTCTACAGTGCATCAGTGCAAAGTCTAGGACGCATGAATTACCTCTTTCTCAAATCAAATCATACTTCCTTAATCTTATTAATCTTCTGCAGTCTCCTTGAGGAACCTGACCTAAAAACCCAATTTTCTTGCCTTTGTTCTCACATATGCTTCTTACTGTGCGTAGACCTACATTTTTTGAGCACGTGCCTCGTACTTCCTCTCTAGAATTTGTGCATCAATGACTGATATACGTGGTGACCGGGTGAGGCTTGTTTCACAATTTTCATACTTCTATCAACACCAAACAATCAACGACTAAACTATCCCGATGTGGACAATGGCAGGGCTAATAAAGTAATCAAGAGTTCATGGACATAACTTGAAGAATCTGTTTAATGGCTTGTTTTTTTTGTGTGTGTACACTGTGTAGAGCATTCATTGAAGTCAAGATTATATAATTATTAAAATATGTTTCATAGACTTCAATGTACAATGTCAGGGCTAAAAGATGGGTCTTTCAGAGGTTCCAGATTAATTTTGGTGGATTCCTTTTATTACCGAGCCCCCCATGGTTTGTAGAGGTCACTTATTATGTGTTGCTATGACAAGTTTCTTAAATGTGTGAAGGATTGAAAGTCAATCCATTTTACTCGTTTTTGAATATTTGAGGATCCAAACCACCCAATACCATTGGTTACCTCATGTTGAAATATCTGCCCCATACTACATTGGTATAAAATAGGGAAAAGTACATAAAACGTACCTGTTGCTTTGGGCCATTTTCAGATAGGGGCATGTGTTTCATTTTTTAAAAAAAGTGGGACATGTGCTTCAATTCTGTTATCACAGTTAGCGCATGGCGCCTAATGCAGTTAGAAAAGTCTCCAAAAAATTAAAAGAAAAATACTAAGAGGCGCGTCTCGTCAAGAAGACATCCGGTTCATCTTTTTTTTTTTTGTTTCCAGCCACCCTGTCTCCAAAAAGTCCATTAGAAAAGTGATATTAGCGAATTCATTTTTTAAAAATAATCCAAATAGAGCCGAAAAATCCAAAGAGAACGATAGTTTGTTGGTCTCCTTGACGAGGTGCACCTCTCAATATTTTTCTTTTAATTTTTCAGACACTTGTGAGAATCAAAGTTAATTTTTCTAATGGCGTTGGACGCCATGCCCCAGCTGTGATAACGAAATTGAAACACGTGTCCCACTTTGTTAAAAAATGAAACACGTGCCCCTATATGAAAACGGCCCACCACAGGTACATTTTGTGTACTTTTCCCTATAAAATAATAAAGTACTACCTCCGTCCAAAAAAACTTTGCCATTTTCAAAACTTTGACCAACTATATCTTTTTATTGGAAATGATTTATAATATAAAAGTTTTATGAAAATGTTCTTTGTTTAAAGTACTTTCATAAAAGTATAAAAGGTATAACTTTCATAATAGGCTTAAGGGTCAAATAGGTACATGAACTAACTTAAAGTGTTCAATTAGCCCCTTATATAGGAGGTTCTGCCCGGCCGTCGCCAATTGGGGCGGTTCCCTGTGGAATTTTTTGATGAATTTTTTTGAGCATCTTCTTCATTAAGTCTAGTTTACTCATACCAAATTTGAGCTAAAAATTCAACCGGGAAGGCAGTCAAATGATTTTTTGAAGATAACTACGCAGTTAAACAACGCAGTACATTTCGGAAAATCATTTGACTGCCTTCCCGATTTATCTTTTAGCTGAAATTTGATATGAGTAAACTAGACTTAATGAAGAAGATTCTCAAAAAAATTCATCAAAAAATTCAACCAGGAACCGCCTCAATTGGCGACGGCCGGGCAGAACCTCCTATATAAGGGGCTAATTGAACACTTTAAGTTAGTTCATGTACCTATTTGACTCTTTAGCCTTCATAATATTATAATAATCAAAATCGATCTTCAAATTTTTTGAAACGGCAAAGTTTTTTGGGACGGAGGTAGTACTATGTAAGATTCTAAGATACTTCTCCTATGAGATAACCTTTTAGGATGGAATCCTGGGTCTGATGATGATTTGATATTGTTTAGAACCCATGATTAAGGGTAATTCGTTAAAGGTCTGTTTGACCCATTTATACATCTCGATGTTGTCCAGTCAGTTGGGCTGAGGATCATGTTGAAATATTTGTGCCTCACCAATTTGGAATAAAATAATATCGCACTATATAAGATCAAAATTCTGATCCACTCCTCCTATAAGGTAATTAGGCTAACATTTTAGGATGAGATCCGAGTCTTAACGCCTTGAGATATTATCATTTATTACGTCATTTACTACATCAATTTGGTTGCTTTTTTCACCATACACACACCCTAGATTGCGAGTGAGCATTGGAAGTGAGTAGACATTTAGTGTGCATTATGTTTTCAGGATAGATTGATTCATATAAAAGTGTTTGATATTATTAGCCTTTAATATCCGTTAAGGTAGGCATGGCTCATATGTGATCATACTTGCTAATGGTATTTCTCTATCATGCCATGTGACATCATACAATACTTCATTTCTACAAAGAAACAAGGTACACAAGGTTGTCGCGGTGGCTAGGCAGCCATGGTGACAGCAGACCGACGTGTCTTCTAGACATTAGTTAGGTGACAAGTAGCGTTTAAACAAAATACTCCCTCCGTCCCATAAAGCTGGTCCAATCATGACTTGCACGTGGAATAATAAAGTAAAAACTGTGTGATTGAGGAATGTATAAAAAAGAGAGAAATAATATCAACACAAAATTTGTTACTTGAAAAGGAAACAACAAAGTTTTTTAGGACGGCTAAAAATGGAAAGTTGGGAAAACAAGAGTTTAATATTTTAATATCCTCTCAAAATAATTTAATTCTGGAATATCTTCAAGAGATAAATCATTCTCAGCTCTGTTACATGAAACAGTCAAACAGTCATACTTCCTCAGGCCTCAGCTCTTATGTATGAAACACGCTCGCACACACATTGATACTTATCTTTCATATATGAAACACTTTGTCAGATTTGGTTTATGAAACATACACATTTTTTAGCTTTTATAAGTGGATAACAGACACATTCGAGCAATGATACTTGAAAAACACACACATTTTCTCAGTCCTGACGTGTGAAATACAAACTCGGTAGTCCTGATTGGCTCATTGCAATACCTCTGTGATATTTTAGAATGATGGTCTCATGGTCCACAATGTAGTGATCAACTGCTGTTTAGGGTAATGGGTCAAAACATTGCATGATGCTCCTGTGCAGTTGCTTGAACTTTACAGTATTTGCTATTCATTTCTGCTTAAAGTACATAGAAGTTGGTCTTTGTAGTTTGTACTTCATTTCATATTAGTACATTCTTTTGGGATTTATACCAGGCAAACAAGATAGGAAGAATAAATCTTGCTGCAACTGGAAAGGATCTCATGGATGAGGATAAACAAGGAGATGTTACAGTTGATCTTTATGCTGCTTTTGATACGGAGTCTGGTTCAGTTGCTGAAAGATTGTCAGAACTACAAGATAGTCAACCTTTGGGTCTGCTCATGGGGTTTCTTGCTGTGGATGATTGGTATGTTTCTAATATTCAAATGCTATTATCAAAATCTGCCGTGTATGTTGAATTTCTTTGGTGTAATTTGACTTCAAGTGTGACCGTACATCAGTTTTTGGTGCGTGTCACATTTGAGCATTAATTCTTTTTTGATCTATGTCGTTAATTGTTCAGTCACACATCCCATATATAGACATATATAGACTTCAATGCTTTTGCTTTTCCCACAACAAAATTCACCAGAGATGTGGGTGGTAGGTCGGAAGGAGATTAGAAAATATATATGAGATTGGAGGTCTAGAAGATTATGTGAGAGGCTTTACCCCAATTCTTGCTCGAGGAAGATGTCAATCACCCTCAACAATTTGGATAGTTTAAAAAGTGAATAATGGGAAATACAAATACCAATCAGGTCAAGGCCCATTCAATATGAGTAAAAGTTTGATGGGGGTTTTCTGAGTACCTCTGCGGCTGTGCCTCAGCATATGTCGGAAGTGTTCGCTCCGTGACCTAGGAATGTGGCTAACTTTGGCTAGTTATTAGTTCTAGCTGTAATTTTGGCTTTCGTGGCATGTTTTTTTGTGTCAAAGTTATTTTTTCTACACTGAAGGTATTAATGAGGAAAAACAGTATGTTAAAAGTCTCTTCTTTTAAAGGCACTGAAAATGCTGGCGTAGAGAGTTAGCAACCCTTCCAGTGTTACCCCAGTTCGACTTAGGTGGTTAGAACAACCATTTGAGTCGAAAAATAATATGTTAGAACAAATAGTTGTTCTAACAAATAGTTGAGCTACAAGGCGATTACCTTGTAGCTCATGCAAATCCCAGGACAGTACTTAGGACAATAGTTGCTTTCCTGCTCATTAGGTGATTAGAACAAATATTGCTTTCCAGTCTTCATGTTTCTGAATTTTCATCTTATATGTATTTTGTACTTCTGTTTTGTTTTGTTTTGTCAGGTATCATGCTCGCATGCTATTTGATCGCCTGTCACCTCTTAATCCAGTGGAGCATATGCAAATATGCAGTGGTTTGCTTAGGTGACTCTTCCTTTATGTAAAAGCTTGGTGATAGAGATAATGAGATATCAAATTTTACATACGCTGTGCTGTGTGTCTGTGTAATGTGATCCTTTTTATATAAGTTTATATTAACATGATATATACTTCTTCCAGTCTATGGTTGTTAGAACCTGCAAATCTATTCTAAGAGATTACAGAAATTGATCAAGAATTCAAAGGCAACTTTTATTGAATCTCCTTAGGCAACCTGGCCAAAGCCCCCAAATGAACCGAAGCCCCCCAAAAGATAGAGTCAATACTCTGATCTTCCCAGTATAGACTACAAGTCAAAACAGCCTCCCTACAACTTCTAACCTTATTCTATTTATAGTAAGAAAGGTTAACAACCGGTAGTTATTAGCTCGTAACAGACTAAACTAATAACAACCCTACTTCCTTCTAGAATATACTTTATTAGAGTATTTATCTTCTTTTCTTCAGATTAGTAAAGTCTCTATCATTGGTACAGATTTGTTTTATTTAATACCTATGTAATTTGTATGCATGTGTATGATAAGCTGATGTTTTATATTTACTGCCTTTAATCTCTTGGAACTTTTGTGCTCCATTTGAACCATGTTTTCCTGTTGTAAGCTCATATTGTAAATCTGTGACACTGAACTGTATATCACCAGGCTTATTGGAATATCAATTGTGCCGGGATATGGCCAAGTTTGCAAAACTCAGCTTCTGAGTGCAGCTACTGGAACTGATAGTAACACAATGGATGTGACCAATTCATTTGACAGTAGTTCCTTCATTGATCTTCCAACAGAGCTTTTTGATATGCTTACTACTATTGGTCCTTATCTTTATCGAGATATTGCATTACTTCAAAAGGTCTGCACTATCCAATCATTTTATCTGGCTCTTTTAGCCTCCAACTATTTTTTCTCACTTTGTGAGACGAGTCATCTGCTCATTTCTATGCTTTTCTAAAGAGCAGGTTTGCAGAGTGTTGAGGGGTTACTACATATGTGCACGCGAGTTTGCCAACTGCGGTGGGGAGTTTTATGCTCAAATGACTATTACAGAAAACCAAACTCCTCGTACCCATTTGAGGGATGCTCGGTTGAGAATTGAGGAAGCACTAGGGACATGTTTACTCCCTTCCATGCAGTTGATACCAGCAAATCCTGCGGTTGGGCAAGAGATATGGGAACTACTCAGTCTCCTACCCTATGAGGTTTGCTTAAGTCGCCAGGGTTTGAAATATTAGTATTTGTTGTTGATCTGACCAATAGTTTTTTGTATAGGTCCGTTATCGTCTATATGGTGAGTGGGAAAAAGATGATGAACAACTTCCAATGCTTTTAGTTGCAAGGCAAACAGCTAAGGTATTGACTGCTTAGGTGTTATTTTAAATTTTAACTTTATAATTCTAGACTCGCCCATTAATTTTTGTGATGACAGTTGGACACAAGAAGGGTTCTGAAACGCCTTGCTAAAGAAAACTTCAAACAACTAGCTCGAATGGTTGCCAAACTAGCTCATGCAAATCCCATGACAGTACTTAGGACAATAGTTCAGCAGGTATTGTTTCATTTAGACACAGATCTAATAATCACTCAAATGGTTGTTAACATATTATTTTTCGACTCAATTATGCAGATAGAGGCTTATAGGGATATGATTACCCCAGTTGTTGATGCATTCAAGTACTTGACCCAGGTTTGCCAACTTTTCCCCTTTCTTACTTCCATTTTTCTTTGCATGCCTCATCAGTCATCACCTTTGTGACACTTGACATACACAATGTTCTAAATTTCTAGAGGCGCTAGTCGGATATCTAACCCCTAGGCTGCCTAAGAATGTGTTAACAAATAACATAATAAATTCAGTCACTCATAAGTCATAACTGAATAATCGACAAACAGTAGAACTCACTTCATTTGAGTCTTAAAAGTATTTAATTGAATTAGAATTTTAGATATGTAGAGTATTCAAAGCAGTACGAATTAAATCAATCAAATATAATTACAAAACTGAAAGGTGAAAGGCCAGATTAATCATGTGAAACACATAAAGCAAAGTAGAAATTGTGATTTTTATTAGTATGCAATAAATAATTGATTTAGAATAGCAATAAGGTAAATCAGAGAACAGTATTTTGGACAATAGCGTAGTAATGATCTGACGACCTGCCATAAGTTTTAGATGATAGATAAACATTACACGCGGACAGCAATTCCATAGACCCCGGATCTCCGGATAATGACATGGGCATTTATGGTCATTTCCATAGGCACCCAATCAGTTGCCCGATTTTTTAAATCGAAAGTGGATAGTCATTCCGAGATCTGCCCAACTAGTGCCTGCCTAGGCTGATTTTTAAAATGTTGCATATTAAAACAAAGGAAAATTGAAGGAATATTATGCTTAGTTTGTCAAGTTAGTTAGTTTCAGTGTTATTGAAAAGAACATGTGTTGACTGGGGCTGTAATCCGCTTAGGTTATAATAGTGTTTTGTTCTCTTTTTATTTTATACGTAGTATGATGTTTAAAGGAATAATGACAAGAATAATACTCTAGCTTAATAGCTTTTGAATGGACAAAAATAGGATCATATTTTAATGGCTAAAGAGTCAAATAGGTACATGAACTCACTTAAAGTGTTCAATTAGCCCCTTATATAGGAGATTCTGCCCGGCCGTTGCCAATTGGGGCGGTTCCTGGTGGAATTTTTTGATGAAATTTTTTGAGCATCTTCTTCATTAAGTCTAGTTTACCCATACCAAATTTCAGCTAAAAATTCAACCGGGAAGACAGTCAAATGATTTTTTGAAGATAACTCCGCAGTTAAACAACGCAGTACATTTCGGAAAATCATTTGACTGCCTTCCCGGTTTAATATTTAGCTGAAATTTGATATGGGTAAACTAGACTTAATGAAGAAGATGCTCAAAAAATTTCATCAAAAAATTCAACCGGGAACCGCTCCAATTGGCGACGGCCGGGCAGAACCTCCTATATAAGGGGCTAATTGAACACTTTAAGTTAGTTCATGTACCTATTTGACCCTTTAGCCTATTTTAATTTGGACAAAAATAGGATCATATTTTAATTTGGACAAAAAAGACCAAACAAAAATGTAGGGAACAAAATGTCCCTTGTATAAATACTACACAAAACCCTAATTCTCTCCACCTAGCATGTCTGCATCACTTCACTCCCTCTTGATTCAGAGCTCTACATCGCCGGACTGCCACTCCTGCAACATCTCTGCTGCTATATGGCTCCCAGCAACTTCTCTGCATCCCCTATAACCAAATCCCAATCTCCCTCTCCAGCAATTCCACCCCATCTCCTCAGTTTCCGGCAGTTTTCTCTCCAGCGCAGCCTAGGGTTTCGAACCCCATCTCCAATCCCACCTCTCACTAGTGCTCCAACATCACCGGACAAAGATGGTGAGCAGGCGAGCAGACGGCACTGGCATCTAGGGTATCATATTGGGGAGAATGGTGGTGGCGCAACAAAGGTTGTGAAGGCGGGGGAAATGGTGGGGTAGTGTAGCGGGGGTGGTGGGGACTAGTAGGAGCGGTGTGGGGCCGGGGTTGGCAGCGAGCGAAGGTGGTTGGGGCAGGGGATTGGGGAGGTTGGGGCTGGAGCAAGGTTGGGACAGTGGCGGTGCTAATATTGCTAGGATAGTGGATTGGGCATTTACCGGGGTATTGGGGATAGAGTCACTGGTCACTGGGTCATTTGTCACAAGGACACTGCCAATTAGTCACCAGGGCGGCAGAATCACTGAGGTGGCGGCCGGTCACTGGTGTCAAAGTCACTGAGGGCGTCAATGGTCACTAGTGGTGGTTAGTCACTGGGGAGCTGGAGTCATAGTGTCACCAAGACTCTGGAGGGCTAATTTAGTACCATTCAATTTTGTGTTTCCAACTTTAGGACTTATTTAGTCACTTTTTTGGGAACAAAAAAAATCCCTTTTTTGTTCAAAACCTACATTTTAGTAATATTAGTGGAAAAACTCCTTTTTTAAATAAATGAAAAATATAGTGGTAGAGTGGAACTTATGGATTATTTGAGGTTAATGCATTTCCCCGAGTTCGTTTTTCTTGAGTAACTTGCAACAACAACATCAAGCCTTAATCCCAAAGGATTTTTGGGGTCAGCAAAAAAGGATCGTCATATGAAATCAGAGGTAAAATGATATAAAAGATAAAAACATAAAATAAGATAAAAAGATAAAGACAGGAATTAAAAGTTAAGGTAAAAAGATAAAAAGATAAAATGAGATAAATGTTTGACCCACACTCTCTTTCATCAAACTAATAAGTACCAAATCATTCATGTCCTCTCTAATTCACGTATGTTTCAGTCTTCCTCTCCCACTCATTCGCACGTCTTCTCCACACCTCTCAATTCGTCTAGTAGTTGCGTCACTTGGTTTTTACGCACATGGCCAAATCACCGCAAATGAAACTCTCTTTCCTCAAGCGGTCTTTTGTAGTATGTCCACACCCGACATTGAAACGCACATTCATCTTTTGAATGTGACATTGTTTCACCGCCCAACACTCTACACGACTACATCATACGATAATGCCAACCTAATTATTGTCTGATAAAACTTATTCCTCAGTCTACAGTCTAGTCAGCACTCAGCATACCTCATCCTCACTTCTATTTCATCTACATATTCTGATTCTATGAGATACATCTCCATATTGTTCATCGTTCTTCTGAACTATGGAGCCCAACTAACATAACATATCATGACTTATCATGACTGTGATGACCACTATCACCATCAGACCGGTATCTCCTTACCATCTAAGGTAATCCTGGTATTATCTTTGCTTCTACTTCCACTAAACTTGCATTTGATATATTCAGCCTTGCTTTGACTCAGTCTGAAACCTTTATTCTCTAAAGTTCGTGGCCATACTTCCAACTTCGCATTAACACCTTATCTTATTTATCTATTAATAAAAACTTATGAATTAATAATAATAAAGAGAAGATATCCTTAACAAACTACTGAATAGTGGGATGGAGGGAGTAATAAAGAGAAGATATGATTACCAAACTAATCATTATTCAATAGCTGCTATCGCTTGTAAACTTGCATGGACTTAATTTCTGTCTATCTTATTTGTGTATACACATACATCACACAACATAAAGACTCACACACATGCATGTGTCTGTACAATGCTTTCAACTATAGTATTTAACAAATTTGCATTTTTGGGGACATGGCTTTATAATTTCATTGAAGTTTTTTTTCATTAAACAGATGGAGTACGATATTTTGGAATATGTCGTAATCGAGCGTCTGGCACAAAGTGGGCGTGATAAGCTAAAAGATGATGGCCTGAATTTGTCGGATTGGCTCCAGTCTTTGGCATTGTTTTGGGGGCATCTGTATGTACAATCATTTTGTGATCGTTTCCTTTTTCTTATTGTAACTATAAAAGAGACACATATCATGTCCCTGTTGGCTTGTTCTTAATTATCTGTAATGTTTGGTCTATTAGCTTCTTGAATTCGTTGCTTTATTGCATTCATTAGCCATATTTCTACAATTCTACCTTGATTGCTACATTTGTGCTACAATGCATTCGCTTGGTTAACTTTCTTGGTCTCTGCTGTAATAAGGCTGTCACTCATTCTCTTTGAATATTTAATTTGCCTGTCCTTGGATAGGTACTCAACCCAAACCACATTTTTTAGTTTTAGTCTGCTGCCCAAAGAAAAAATGGTTTTTGTGTCCTAGTTTGACTTTTACTGTAACTGTGTGCTATGCCTTCACTGCTTTGTGCAGAACAATTCAATTTCCACGGGGTACCTACCCCAGCATTGGGGTTGCAAACTATCCTGTGAGGATGCTGGGTGATTTGAGGAGGGTGTTCCTATGATCCTATCCTTGCTGATTTACCTTGGTTGGCTTTTGTTAGCCTGTTACATCAGCTGTCATATGTTCGGCTTCTTATTTGTGAAGTGAGGAGCGAGGACTCAGATTTATATAAAAATTGGCTAGTGTGTTTCGGTTGGAAGGGACAAAGGTTACAAAATCTTGTTGGTAAAAGAGTTTGTGCTGGAGTGGACATTGTTAATGAATAATAAATTTGCCTCTAGAGTTCCCTTTCCCATTTGAAGTTCAAGATCTGAAGGTTTTATGAAGATTCTTAATAACCAAAAAGCTAAACCCTTGTTGATAAGCAAGTTCACATGATGTATTTCTTTCAGAGATATTAAGTGATAAATACTTGAGAAGTTCATTCATCAAAATGTGGACAGAATGAAGACCTTTATATCTGTAGTGAAACAAATCAGCTATATTGTCACATTGTCACTACAACCTTGAGAAGATTATTGGTTGTTAAGCACGAAACCTTTCATTGATATGTTTTAGTTCCTCTAGATAGCATTAGTAATGCAGAACAATCAACAGTATCCCGTTTGGTTACTTTGCTTCTATTGGAGATTTTTGGCATTCCATTGCTGATTTTCACATGATGTCAGGTCATTAGAACTTGATGTTTAGACTCTAGAGACTCTTGATCTGCAGTTGGTCTGAATTTACTGCAAAGATTTAGTTTGGTACTTGAGTATCTAATTTGGGCATTTCTCGACCAGAAATTTTGCCAAGAATATAAAGCATGACAGGAGACATATTTTCTTTTTTCCTCTGTTGGTGTTGCATGCATGTAGAGTCCATTCCCAAAAGTATGATGATCACTCCAAATTTGGTTGGGCAACTCTTATACTTGATCGAAGATTTGATATGTTTAAAGGAGGGAATTTGGGGAGACATCGTGGGATCACAGATAGTTAAAATAAGTTGCCTGTGTTGTTTCTAAGTTTGTAGTATTGCATACAATGCCATCTTTCCCCAGGAAATCAAAATCTTAGGACACGGGCTTTAGTTTCCACAGGCTCCTGATCAGTAACTGATCTAAGGACGATATATGTAGATTAGTAGGAGCCTCGGAGGTCATTGATGTTTGATATGGTGGAAATATTTCAAGCCAAACAGAAAGTTGCAGAAATCTTTACTTGTTTGTTTGATCTGCTTTTATGTCACATGAAGCATTAAGCATCATCAAAAATCCATAAACGCAAAGGAAAACTAAGAAGAGGTTCTCTGATTATACAAAAGTGAGACTGATCACTCTCTGGGTAAAGGCGTTATTTCTAGTGTGATTGATTCCATGCCTCTGGATATTGAGGTATTTCGGGCTTTTTGGAAGATATGCTTTCTGTCCAGCAAGTTCTGTATAGAGTTTCAAGCTGTTTGCTTTTTCAACAACAACATCATCTGAGCCTTATTCCCACATGAATCGACATATGATATCGGAGTTAATAACATTAGATAGAGAAAGAGGGGGACAAACAATATAAGATAAATCCTCCAAGGTGTTTTCTTTTTCATTGGAACTATTATCTTGGATTCATCTCAAAAGCTCATGAGTTTTCCGTTCTACTCAAACATAATATGAGTGAGATGTCTTTAATTAGATGCACTTGTTTAAGCACTGTTTTTTGTTCCAGCTTCCAGTATTACCTTCTTTTGTACAAGATTGTTCTTTGTTTTTGTAGGGTTAAATTTATTAGTTCTACTTTTGTTTAATTTAATAATATGGGCATGAAATCAAACTGTACCCTACATTTTTGCTTCATGTGCACTATTAAGTAATGATATCAATGAGGTCTCCAATATAGCAGATACAGATAGATAATTAGAGAACTCTAAAAGTGGAGTTATTGGTACCGCTACCAGTTGCTGGTTAGAAACATAACTTACTGAAAACGTTAATGTGGGCAACATCAAACCTCAATCATTTCTGTTGTGTTATTATGTGCTCAGGACTACTCTATGCACTTCTCAAGATGCAGACTATCTGCGAGTGGCCTTTTATCTTTCAACACCTTCATTGGCATGTGTATAATTTCCAGCAAGTTTTTTTAATGGGTCTATAGCTGTGTTTCTGCTGAAATAAAATGTCCCAGTACAGTTAAAATGTTGGTTATGGTGTGTTTTAAGTTTTAATAGCTAATACAGTTACTCTTTGTGTTTATCTGAATTATGTTTAACTTGTGCACATATAATAAGAAAAGAAATGAATTATTACGCCTTCTTTATAATTTATGCAGAAAGTGCTTTTTATGTAAAGTTGCTACATCTTTGATTAGCTTCCCTTATATGCTTGTTAGAGTACTCTCAGATTACATGACAACACTTTTGTTATATCTGTGCCACTGTAGGTGTAAAAAATATCCATCAATGGAACTACGAGGTCTTTTCCAGTATCTTGTAAATCAGTTGAAGAGAGGAAATGGGATTGAGCTCCTTGTTGTTCAGGTAGGTGTATCAGTAGAGTTATTTACTCGTCAGTTTTTTTTTGTTTATCTCACCTTAAATCTAAATTATATAATATGTGCAGGAGCTTATACAGCAAATGGCTAATGTTCAGTACACAGAGAACATGACAGAAGAGGAACTGGATGCAATGGCTGGAAGTGAAACCCTACGATATCAGGCCACTTCATATGGGATAACCAGGAACAATAAGGTTCTTATTGTCATTTGTTTCTCTGTTGTCCTAGAAGTCTTACTGCAATATACCGCAATAGTATATCAGATAAATGTGCTAGTATTCCTCTTGATATGTTTTATGCGCCAAATCTGTAATGAATAGTTTTGGCCTTCTCTAAGGGTGAGATCGGTCTGGCCTGGATCAGGTTTTTGCTAAAGCCCGAAGTTATGAAGAATATTTTCATGATCACTACGATATACAAATGAACATTGCTATAGTCACTAGACGTTACTGAGTCGCTTTGTTCTTGCCTAACATGCTTATTCTAGTAATATATTAGGAATTATTTCTACATAATAATAGTATATTATATGGAGTATTGATTTTACATTAAACAAAATTGTTTCGGGTTTTGACTGGTCTGAGCCGGGTTATAGATTTTAGGGACCGCTAGTGAACCCGATTTTCCGGGTTCAGTCCCGGTATTTTTATTCGGGCCGTAAAAAAATAAGAAAACCCAGACCGGTCACATTTTTAGGACCAGGCAAGGTTCGGTTTCCAGGTTTCGGTTCGGTTTTTCCCACCCCTAGCCCTTCTCCATTGCGGGCTCATTGGAAATTATAGGGCTATTGTATACTATAATATCAAATACATTTAAACTCTTCTTACATTTAAACAAGGATAAATATTTGAAACTAATTCACATGTCTTTATGCTTTCAAACAATATTATTTTAAGACGATTTGATCCATATAGTCAGCAATATGGTTCTGTTTGCAGGCATTAATTAAGTCTACCAATCGGCTTAGAGATGCTTTGCTTCCAAAAGAAGAGCCAAAGTTGGCAATTCCTCTTTTGTTACTCATTGCTCAGCACCGTTCCGTGTAAGCCAAGACACATTGTGTATTGTTCTTTTGGTTACATAGAAATGTAGAATGCCAGTGTGGTTTATTCACATTACTGTAATGCTGCCAATTTTGTGCCCAAGATCCTATGCGTTTACATACCCATTTTCTTCTCTACTCAAGCAGCTCCACTTTTCTTCAATCTTAGTTGCTTCTCTTCATCTTTGGTAATCTATTTTTTAGTTTCTCTTGCTTCTTGGTAAAGTTTTTCTCTGGCTTTTTACTATTCCCAATTTAATTGTTCATTATCATCATCGTCATCATTAATCATTATTGTCTTCTTATTGGTCTAGTTGATACAACAACAACAACAACAATTGCTATGACAACTATCACTACTACTAGCCTACTACTATTGTTATATTTAATACTCCGTATTTATTATCATTGTTATTATAGAAGGGGAGCCTTGGCGCACCAGTTAAGGTGTTGCTGTGTGACCCAGAGGTCATGGGTTCAAGTCTTAGGAGTGGCCTCTTGTCAAAATTTGACAGGGGAAGGCTTGCCTCTTTTGCACCCTTGTGGTGGGACCCTTCTCCAGACCCTCTCCTTGTGGGGATGCCTTCGTGCACTGGGCTGCCCTTTTTTATCATTGTTATTATGATAACAGTGTACACCCCATAATGTGGGCCCCCACTTACCCTTGCCCCTAGAACATGGGTGGGGGAGTTGCTGTATTTCTTGTTGTTGTTGTTGTTATTCGATCACATGGCCAAATTGGTCTTTAACCTTACTATTTTTTCCCTTCCCAAATGTATTGCATTGCTTACCAAACATTAAAATAAAATAATCTTATTCTGACCTGCTTAACAGTGGATTCTAAGTCCCCCTCTTATTATATTCACATGGAATTCAAGTGTCATTCCCATTAAATCTTTTCCACTTACCAAAGGGTGTACATCTTTTGATCCTTACGGGAAGGTTGACTGAGATGTACTCCACAGTATTCTTGGTGATGCTGAGAAACATGACAATCTTGCTGAGTTCTTTCTTTTTTTGTGCAGGGTTGTCATAAATGTTGACGTTCCTTATATCAAAATGGTCAGTGAACAATTTGATAGATGCCATGGAACTCTCCTCCAATATGTGGAATTTTTGACAAGTGCAGTTACTCCAGCAAGTAGCTATGCTCTACTTGTTCCAACTTTAAGTGACCTTTTACGACTTTATCATCTTGACCCTGAGGTAATTTCTTCCTAACGTTTTTTTTTTATATTTCACTTTTTCCGTGTTAAAGCGTAAGTGTTAACTTGGTCAATTGATTATTGTAACACTGATGCTGTACCCCTTCAGGTTGCATTTCTTATTTACCGGCCAGTTATGAGGCTCTTCCAGTCTCAGAATAATCCAGATGTCTTTTGGCCATTAGACTATAATGAAGCAATGAGTAGAACTGAGTCTGAAACTATTGGTGATTCTACCAAAATGGTTCTGGATCTCGGCTCTACACGCAAGCCTATCTTGTAAGTCTTTGGACCCAATTCGTTCACCAACTATTTTTATTCGTTTCTCTCTGTCTATTGCATGTTATGAATTTTAAATCCTTGGCATCAGTTAGTTTAGGTTAGTGTGGAATGTTTGGCTGGATCCACACAAACCTGAAACACCTAGTTATAGGTGCAAATATATTTGTGTCAACATTGAGATGCCTGTGATGTTTCATCATTACATTTTAAACTCCATTGAGAGTAGTAGGTGTTTGCTGTTGTAATTTCATCATGACTCGCATCGAGCCGGTGTTCTGTGTTCATAACATATACCCACAGTTAAATAGGTTTCTGTTGAGCTTCTTAATCAGTCAATCTTGTCTTTTTGTTGGAGTATGCTGTATTCTTGTTTCCTAATCTCACTCCCCATCTTGGATTTCTGGCTACTGGCTTGTTATGCTAATGATATTATTTTTGTTTCTTAAATTTCCGCTTTAAGCTGGGAGGACCTACTCGAGACCATCAAGATGATGTTACCTTCAAAAGCATGGAATAGTTTGTCTCCTGACCTGTATGCTACTTTTTGGGGCCTTGCTTTGTATGATCTCTATGTTCCAAGAAACCGTTATGATTCTGAAATTGCGAAGCTACGTGCTGCTCTTAAAGCGCTTGAAGAATTATCTGATAATTCTAGTTCTGCAATCACAAAGAGGAAGAAAGATAAAGAAAAAATCCAAGAGTCTCTTGACCGACTGAATTTGGAATTTCATAAACATGAAGAACATGTTGCATCTGTCCATAGACGTTTAGCCCGTGAAAAGGACAAGTGGTTGAGTTCCTGCCCCGACACATTAAAAATCAATATGGAATTTCTTCAGCGCTGCATCTTTCCACGGTGTACATTCAGTATGCCTGATGCAGTATACTGTGCTATGTTTGTAAACACTCTTCATTCACTTGGAACTCCTTTTTTCAACACCGTTAACCACATAGATGTTCTGATATGCAAAACATTACAACCTATGATTTGTTGTTGCACTGAGTATGAAGTGGGACGTCTAGGAAGGTTCTTGTATGAGACTTTGAAGACGGCCTATTATTGGAAGGTACATACAAAGTCAGGTCAATTTTAGAACCCTTGATTTCTTATATGCATTTTCTAATAACATGGCATTGTTTTAGGGCGATGAAGCAATATACGAACGTGAATGTGGGAATATGCCAGGGTTTGCCGTTTACTACAGATACCCCAACAGCCAACGTGTGACATATAGCCAATTCATTAAGGTTGGTCTATTAAAATCTTAAATTAAGGTTCTTTTCTTAAAGTTTTCCTTGAAGTGTAAAGCTGTGGCTGACATGTTTTTGACCTGGAAAATGTTCTTGCTCTTGAGACTGTTACGGTTACATTAATCATGGTCAAGCCCAGTGCTCTATATATTTTCTAGGGTCAGCTACGGACATGCAATTATTTTTTGCACTAGTTTCTGTATTAGTAGAATCTTTGCTTCCTTGGATATTACATAATGAAGTCATATGTTGCGTAGATTTTTTAAACTATATTTCCTAATGGTATAATTACTATTGCTATTGCTATTACACCAGATTGTGTAATGGTGGGCCTTCTTTGAAGTTTGGAAAGCATGGTTGAACTAAAATTTAAATTATACAGCCTTCCCAGTGCGAATAAACTCAATTCTAATATTTCTTATGAATAGTTCAATTCTTTGTGTGGTTTGTCTGGAAGTGACTACACTACTTACCTGTAGCTCGCTTTGAACACGTTTCCTTTTCATGGAATAGGAGTTTTTGTCATCTAATTACACTGCATGGTGCAGTTTCTTTATTTATGTATGTAGCATTATAGAGTCTCATTTGTCTGTTTCCTTAAAGGTACATTGGAAATGGAGCCAAAGGATCACGAGGTTGCTAATACAATGTTTGGAATCAACTGAGTACATGGAAATTCGTAACGCTCTGATTTTGCTGACTAAAATATCCAGTGTTTTCCCTGTTACCCGTAAGAGTGGGATTAATCTTGAGAAGCGGGTGAGATTTATTGTGGCCATGTGAGATTAAGCTGTTGCACTGGTTTTACGTGTCTTTTTATTATTAATTGCTTTCTATATCCTCCCTTGCTTATATCAGGTTGGTAAAATTAAAAGCGAGGAGAGGGAGGATCTCAAAGTATTGGCAACTGGTGTTGGTTCTGCTTTAGCGGCAAGGAAGGTATAGTTCAAGATAGTTTTTCTTTTAACTGTTACTCTGTATATTTTAACAGATTATGTTTGTAATTGCTTTTTTGTCAGCCCCTCCTTTGAGCTTTGGCTTTTGATGACATTTGGACTAGATCTGAAAATTGAAAAATGTCCATGGCAGTCTTATTTGTTAATTAATAAATCACACATGGAGTTCTTTTAATTCTCCATCAAGTTGTCATCTTGATGAGGAGCGCATACGCGTTCACATCAAATTAGTATAAAGATATAAATCAACATAAAGTCTTGGTGCATACATCTCAGTATATTTATCCTTTAGGGTGGAATTTGATGTCTTAATAGTTAATAATCCCTCCGTATCACTTTAGTTGTCCCGGTTTCCTTTTAGGGATGTATCAAATTAATTGTCCCATTTCCCCTTTTGGAAAGAAACCCACCCTAAAAGCAGCTACTGTACAGCTATAGTACTGCTACGGTACCAAAAGCCTCTTACTTTTCATTAAGTCTACAATAATTATCTTAAATAGCAAACGGGACAACTAAAGTGATATGGAGGGAGTACTATTTACGGTTTATTGTATCATCATCTTCTTTCGTTATCATTTAAATTCTTTATTTTATTGCTCATATGTGCTTGCTTGTGTGTTTTATTTAAGTGAAATAAAGAAGTAATGTATTTGCCTTTTACAGCCCTTGTGGGTTTCAGATGAAGAATTTGGAATGGGTTATCTTGAACTAAAGCCAGGTCCAGGACTGACTCAAAAGCCAGCACCAGCAAATCAATCTGCTTTACCGAATGGATCTATGACCAGTCTCTCTCAGGGAGAGCATGCTGGGGGCAGAAGTGCTGCTGTAGGAAGGCCGGGTGATGGAAAATTAGACCGAGCAGAGAATCCTTCACAAAAGTCTGATCCCGTTCACTCTAAACAAAATTTGGCTTCGTCTAATGGCCCTGATTACATCTTGAGGCTATCAACTGCTGTGCAATCAGGCACATCCAGATCTATGGAGAATCAAAAATACATGGACGAATTGGCAAATGAACCTCTAGGAGAAAGCAACTCAAAAGTAGTTTCTAAGACATATTCAAACCAGGAGGTATTGCTCGAATTTTCTGCAACTGCTTTTAAAATACTTTCAATGCGTTGTCAATGTGCTTTAGAGAAACGTTCTTAGGATAAGATTTATTGTTTTTTGGTACTTTATTTAGTCAAGAAGTCATACATTTGCAATGCTCATTGTGGTGAAGCTCTCATATTTTACTGTTAGCATGAGAATTTGTTCCTTGCAATTGTTCAAGTGCAATATTTTCTATATTCCATATGATAATGAGCATACATTTATAGTCGGCCAAATTAGCAAATTGGTAAAAAAAAAGGGTCATTGGACAGATTGATAAAAAAAACCACTTGAGACAAATTGGTAAAAAAAAGAAGGCCTAGTGACAAATTGGTCAATTTTTTCTGAGTGATAAACTTTCGATCCTCGACTTTAGAATTCCCGACATTTCATATTCTAAGTATTGTGAAGTTGACATTTGCAGTCATTTTACTTTGATATTGTCATCAAAAGTGCAGGTCTGAAAATGTCAATGCCGTGTTTGATAATATTAGTTGTCTGTTAGCTCATAACCGATTGAATCAACAAATTGATATTAGCGGATTCGTTATCTTTTTAAACTAACCGCTTTCATTAGCGGTTTGAAATAAATTGTTAGTAACTTAAAAGTTGCAATTAGTTTTTCAGACGTAAAATGACCATTAAAAATGAATTTAAAAGTTTATATATTTAAATTAATTTTAATTTCTTTTTATTTTTAATAAGTTTTGGAAAATGCTTTAAAAGTTATGTTTACGTTTATTTTAAATAATTACTAATAGTATCATTTTAAGCTATGTACATTAATGCGAGCACACACATATAAATTCATATATCTTTAGTAATAATATTTTTAATATGGACATTTATTAGTTTTTTTAATGTCTACTCCGTTTAAAAAATCTACTCCAGAATTCTACTCCATATGACTATTTATTACTACCTCTGTCCCACTTAGATTGGGACAATAGAAGGTGGCACAATTATTAAGAAAAGTGGGTTTGCGTGGTTGATATTAAATTGATAAAGTAAGAATGGTTTAGACCAAACAAGCTTTACCAAATTTGGTATGAGACAATTTTAGTGGCACTTCCCGAAAAGGTAAAATGTGACAATCTTAGCGGGATGGAGGGAGTAGTTTTTTAAAAAAGAATTACTCCATGGTTATTTAAAATAAATGTGAATATAATTTTTAAAATCTTCACTTATTAAAAATAAAATAAATAAATTAAGATAAAATATATACTTTAAAATTCATATCTTTAATTGCCATTTTACGCCTTAACATTTAATAGCCAACAATTAAGTTACTAACATTTTGTTTTAAACGCTAATGAAAGCGGTTAGTTATAAAAGGTAACATAATCCGCTATTATCAATATGCTGATTCAACCAGCTATTAGCTACCGGACAAATGTTATTATCAAACACGATCGTCGACATATTTAGACTTTCACTTTTGATGACAAAATCAAAGTAAAAGGACTGAAAATATCAATTTCATAATACTTAGAAGTTAGAATATGAAAGGTCGGGAATTCTAAAGTCGAGGATCAAAAGTTTACCGCTCACAAAAAATTGACCAATTTGTCTCAAGCGGTTTTTTTTTACCAATTTGTCCAATGACCCTCATTTTTTTTTCCCAATTTGGTAATTTGGCTGACAGTCTCCCTTTGAAGATTAATAAATACTGCCACCTCGGATTGAAATATCTTCCTTTACCTTTCTTGTTAATAGTATGCAGAGAATTACCTTTCCGCTTATTGTCTTGTTTAGTCGATTTAGACCATGGTAGGACCCTCACTGTGTTATGTCTATCTCTCTGTTAGCTGTTGCTATGTCTGTGTTCTTGGCTTTATTTTAAATTTTTAAGTTAGTACACAGGGTCAGTGCAAGTGTAGAGTATATTAGTTCGAGTAAAAGTGGAAGTAGTGTTGGTTGAAACAGTTGTCAAAGCTTACAGTTGCAATAAGTTATTCATTTGGTTCTGAAATTTGTTGCCCTGTGAATTTGATTCCATAAACTGTATTCATCGTTCAAGTTTGATTCCATTTTCTAGATGGCTTCTAAAGTTTATTCCTATTCTGTGCATTTGTTGAAGTTTTCAAGTTTGATTGCAAACATGTTATAATTTCAATTAATCACCTCTTTCCAGGGAAGAGCGACTACAAAGCGTTCTAATCCAGCTGGATCACTACCAGTGCAGCTAAAACTGGACCCTACCAAAGATGATAGATCTGGCAAAGATCTTCATCCGTCTGAGAACAGGGCAGGTGGAGTGACTTCTGGAATGTCAGGCAATGGTAATATGGGTTTAACGAAAACTGGATCCTTGAGCACTTCATCTTCGCGACCTCTAACTCACGGAAATGAAACAAAAACTGAGATTGTGGGTGCAAAGTCATCAGATCCCAGACACACCGGGAAAGATGATGGAAATGGATCTTCTGATCTCCATGGCCAATATTCTCGTACAGTACATTCTCCGCGACAGGATATATCTAAGTCTGCTGATCGAAAAAGAGGGAGTCCCTCTGAAGAAGTAGATAAACTAAATAAACGCCGTAAAGGTGAGAGTGATCCAAGGGAAATGGATGACGGCGAGATAAGAGAACGAGCTGTCGATGCTAGAGCTGCTGATAAACCTCATTCACTAGATTATGACAATACAATATTTGATGACCAAAGTACAAGCAGGGTCACCGAAAAGGTTAGTGACAGATCAAAAGATAAGGGTTTAGAAAGACATGAGAGGGAGCATCGGGAGCGTTTGGAGAGGCCGGACAAGTCTCGTGGGGATGATATGCTCTCTGATAAACCCAGGGATAGATCGATTGAAAGACACATGCGGGAGCGATCTGTAGAAAAAGTTGTGGAGAGGGGTTTAGATAGAAACATTGATAGGCTAGGTAAAGATGAAAGAAACAAGTTGCGTTATGGTGATGTTTCTGTGGAGAAATCTCATGTAGATGATCGATTTCATAATCAAAGCTTACCTCCTCCCCCTCCCTTGCCACCTCACGTGGTTCCTCAATCCATTAGTACTAGTAAGAGAGACGAAGATTCTGACAGACGTGTGGGATCTTCAAGGCATGGACAGCGCCTCTCGCCTAGGCATGATGAAAGAGAGAGGAGGCGCTCTGAAGAGAATATTTTGCTACTTCAGGATGATATAAAACGTCGAAGAGATGATGATTTTCGAGACAGAAAGCGAGATGAAAGAGACCTGCTTCCTATTAAGGTATTCTTGTTTAGTCTGCTGAAGATCTATAAATCTCAACTATGACCTCATGACAGGTTATGCACCAGAGAATAGTTTCTGATTGATAGATCTCATGCGTTACTCCATTTTTAGTTTTGATTAAGCGCGACATTAGTTTTGGACTTTAATTTTTAGAAGTGTATTTTAAAATCATTGGTGCCCACACAGGTGGATGAGAGGGAGAGAGAAAGGGAGAAACAAACCCTTCTGAAGGAGGACATGGATCCAAATGCTGCTTCCAAGAGGCGAAAATTAAAAAGAGAGCATATATCATCAGAAGCTGGTGAATATTCACAAGCATCTTTGCCTCCACCTCATCTTCCGCTTGGTAGCATCTCCCAGTCCTATGATGGTGGAAGGGAGAGGGGAGATCGTAAATCAGGTATAGTTCATCGTCCTGGATACTTGGAGGATCAAGGTCCGAGGATACATGGAAAAGATTCCACAAGCAAATCAACACGCCGTGATGCTGATCCGTATCCTTCTTATTTGCATTTGCATTATACATTTATACTAGTACTAAAATACTACTATATTATATTCATTATTAAAATTGTTGTGGTTGTTCCATTAATGAGCTCTTTTATCAGTTACAGTTGTACATGTTAGTGCATTTCTTGGTGATATCTAATCTCACTAAAATGTTTGCACTTCTTTGCTATGAAGCAGCAGTCATTTCATGCAATTTTCAACGTGATTTTCATCTTGGGTCATTCAGAAACAATCTCTTTTTTAATGCTTCCATTTTATGAGGATGTGCCATGAGTACAGAAATTAGAATTCATCACTTACTAAAGTTCTTAATAGTAGAAAGAGTACGGTGTTGAATCCAGAGGAAGAGTTTGCCTTTGCATCAGTGTGTGTGCATAGCATAAATATATACTCCCTCCGTTCTTTAATATTAGTCTTCCTAGGCTTTGGCATGGGTTTTAAGAGGAAAATAGTAGGGGTAGTATAAAAGGTGTAATGAGTAGGGGGTAAATGAAAAAGTAGGAAAGAGAAAGGGGTAATGGTAATAAAAGTTGGGGTATAAAGGTATATTTAGAGTAAAAACTTTCCTTAAATGGAAAGGAGGACATATAAAAAAAACGTCCCAAAAAGGAAAGGACTAATAAAAAAGAACGGAGGTAGTATATTGGATTCCTTGACCACTTATTGTTAGACTATATGACAGAGAGTGGGATGATGATAAAAGACAAAGAGGAGCTGACCCAAAAAGACGCCACCGCAAGTAATTTTTGAAATTAAATATTTTGCAGTGTGCTCTTTGTCAAGAAGGTATGTTCATCATTCTTTTCTTGTATTAGAAAATGAATGCAAGTCATTACATATTTTTGCATCTACTTAGTATGGCCTTTTGGACATGGAAGCCTATATACTTTTAGGGAGAATTTGACTTTGCACCCCAGTTTTTGGGTGATATTGAACTTTGCACCCCATTTTAAAAAAACTTTGAATTTTCACCCCAATTCACTTAAAAATCCTTTGACTTTGCACCCCATTCATTAATTTTTCTTCACAAAATGTTATGTGTTGGGGTGCAAAATCAAAGTCTTTTCAAAATAGGGTGCAAAGTCCGATATCACCCAAAAAGTGGGGTGCACAGTCAAATCCCCCCTACTTTTCATTGTTGTTATTTTTAATACATGATATTCAAGAATTACTCACCAAATATGTTGTGCTCTGCTTTATATTGTCTCACATGTGTATATAAGTATGTTAAACACGCACACACACGCGCGCGCACACGCGCGCGCGCGCGCACACGCGCGCGCGCGCGCACACACACATATATGTATATATGCATGTATGTGTGTACATATGCGCACACACATAAAGATACATGGATACACATATACATAAATAGGATGCTTCTCAATGAAAAGAATGTTTCCCGTGAGACATGCCAAAATCTGTTTTTTGGTTCTCTATGCTACACTTTCCTGGGTGGCAAAAAATGCTCATCCATTTTTAATCATGTTTTAGCATTTGTGAGTTTTTGAGGACCTTTGCACTAGATTCATTCTGATTTCTCAGAGGGAAGCTGTCCATCATGGACAAACTAGACTTGATGAGGAACATGCTCAAAAAATTTCATCGAGAAATTCCATCGGGGACTGCCCCAAACAGTGAAGTTCGGACGGCTGCTCCCGTCCCTCCGGAGGGACCTGAGCATTTCTGTATATATATATATATATATATAGTGTATAGATGTATGTTTATATATAGACAATATAGTGTATTAGTATATATGTATACTTGTATGAAGGAAATCTTTCCGGTAAGGTATACCTTACCGGAGCCGCCGTGAGGCCTCCACGTTTTGAGGGCCTTCCCGGTGGAATTTTTCGATGAAATTTTTTGAGCATGTTCTTCATCAAGTCTAGTACATCCATACCAAATTTCAGCAAAAAATTCAATCGGGAAGGCAGTCAAACGATTTTTGGAAGATAACTGCACTTTTTATATACATATAAAACGCAGTTATCTTCCAAAAATCGTTTGGCTGCCTTCCCGATTGAATTTTTTGCTGAAATTTGGTATGGATGTACTAGACTTGATGAATAACATGCTCAAAAAATTTCATCGAAAAATTCCACCGGGAAGGCCCTCAAAACGTGGAGGCCGCACGGAGGCTCCGGTAAGGTATACCTTACCGGAAGAGTTCCCCTTGTATGAATATGGTGTGTGTGAATGTGTGATTGCTTATATGTATGTGTGCATTCGCTTCACTCTTATTCTGTCATGCAGGACTGCAGGCGCAAGTGCTAAACCCGGAGTTATAGTTGAATGTGCTGAATGTATTAATGGATTTAATGAAAAGCATTGTTTGGGAAGGCTGGAGGGATGGGCACATCTGGCTTGAATACATACGTCGCCCCGGGTTGATACTTTAAAACTTTTTAATTTTAACCCATCTGGCCTGAATACCATACAGGAGGGTTGACCCGTCCACTTGGAAGTTATATTTTACCTTACCATGTTTCTGCTATCCTTGAGCGCTGTAAGAAGTCAAATCTGTCCTTCACATAAACCAGAATGAGGTTTAAATTGTGACGGGAGATGGGGAAGAGTTCATGTTTAATGCTATCAGATATCTATTGATAACTTTTCTTTCATTAAAATTCCCACCCCCATTGTAGTGAGCGTCGTTTTATGATGTTATCATACTAGTGAAAAAGACTTGATACAATTTGAACAAAATTAATTCAGCTATCAAAAAAGTTTTCATAAAAGTTTTCCCAATGTGTCAAATTAAGTTTTCATAATATATATCAAAAAAGTCAATTCAGCTATCAAACGTAAAAAAACTCCATTGAGACGTCGTTCCAATTTATAATCTAGTAGATTAATTCATAGTTAGCTGGTGCCTGGTTGCATGCTTAGGTGACATTTATTGTTTACATTTTCTTTCTATTCTTTTTTTTTCTCCCTTTCCCCACTTCCTCCAATTTTTTTTTATCCCAGGCCCCCTCCCTAATTTCTCCCATCCTTCTTTCTTTTTCCACAGGCAATCTCCTTTCTTCCTCATTTATCCTCTTTCCTTCTTCCGCACCACCTGAACTTCTGTCCCCCCTTTCTCTTTCTTGCGCAGCAGAGCCCTTGAGCTTTGTCTGCAATGGTGTCAAATGAGCTCATCAGATTTGCCGATGAATTTGGCATTTTGGTGAGAGGTCTTGAGCTTCCTCATCGGCAACGCAGCTTCTTCATTGGTGGTCACATCCTAAATGTAACTCATTGGAGATGGCAATGCAAATGAGCTCGTGAAATTGATAATGGCGTGTAGCTTGCATGCTCATTAAAGATGTTTGTATTTGCAATTTGCATGCTCGAAAGTCGAAAGAGGAACTCAGGAAAGAAGCAGGGAAAGAAGTATAGCTGTAGACTGTAGTTGCTCGAGAAAGAAATAGGTGGAAAGGGGTGGGGTGTTGGGCGGTAGAGAAAAGCATAAAAGCAAAAATATTAACATAAGTCATCGGTTAATTAGAACTTAACCTATTAAATTTTACATCTGAATGTTCTTGTAAAGCTCATTGCTTTCATTGAGTGTTTTTAAATTTGCTTGTAAAGGAGTTTGAAATTCCAAAATAGGACTATTATATTGCCAAATAGTTGCAGTAGAATGCATTTAGCATAGTGGTATTTAGTACTACCTCCGTTCTCTTACACATTTTCACTATTTACATATGCTCTTGACTATATTTTATTTATTAATGCATTAAAATTAATTTTTTTAAAAATAATTTTAAATTCCTCTCATTTTAAATTTTCAAGATTTGAACCTTTTAACTTTTTACTAATAAGGAATGTAAAATATAAATGGTCCAACTTGTTTGTTGGTAAGCATGAAAAAAGGATTGAATGAACACGATTAGAACACTCATAACTCTTGCATCTCAGAAGAAAAGAAAAACTTATCAGCTAGATATCAAGTTAGCCTTTCTAAATGGAGAATTAAGAGAAGAAGTTTATGTGGAGCAACACGTAGGAACGGTAGGATTCATCAAGGAAGAAGGAAAAGTTCTTCGCCTAAAGAAAGCTCTTTACGGGTTAAAACAAGCTCCACAAGCTTGGTAAGTAAGATTGATGGATAAATCACCCACCAACGGTTCAGGAGGAGCAAGCATGAGGCCACCCCAACAAGCTTCAAGATCAAAATCAAGAAATTAAAGTTTAGCTCTTCATTTGGAGACCAAACAATGCTAGAAAAATATAAAGAAATTACTATTCTAAGTTGAGCTTAAGTATATGGAAGAAGGAATGAATAAATGCGAAGGAAAGATGTGCTATTTATAGGTGTTTTCAACATCTTGCGCTGGATGCCCGACCTGGTATCTGTCAAAATTGGATAACCTCCCCCATGTCGCCCACTGAGCGGTAAGCGCAGAAAACAAGCTAAGCTAAAGCAGGGAAAGCGCTAGAGCCCAGAAAGTGTGTAGCTTTTAAACCCCCAGAAGTACTGACATGATCTAATAAGTAGATATAAACATCTTGAATCTTATTTTTATCATCTTTAGAATCCTCTTTACGAATAAGATTTGTATTCACAGCAAAATTATGATATACTGGAATTGTACGCATCGCTTTTCGAAAGCACGTAAATCAATGTGATTTACCTGTAAGCCAATGCATGTATACATACATTAGTTGTGTGTATAAAGATAAAAAGAGTTTGTACACAAAAAGTTTTTTGTCTATGCGCATACATGTTTATCAATCAATATTTTACTAAGACAAACAATAATTCCGACAACATCTCCGATGACTCGAACTCTAGTTGTTTTTTCGGGAACATTTCAATGACTCTAACTGCGGTGATGATGAAGTAGATGAGATGAAGTATGACACATGTTGATATGGTGAAAATGGAAGGTGATGAAGAAAGAAGACTAATAAGATGGAAATGATGAAGATGAGAGGTGAAAGATTTGGAGAATGGTGAAGACGAGATGATATGAATATGAAGAATAGTGAAGATGAGAGGTGATAAGATGAAATAAGGAAGATACAAGAAGAAGAAGAGAGGGATTTTCATATAAAGAGGGGAGACAAAGGGGTAAAAGAAATGCTAAAATTTTGGGTATATACATAGTATACCTAAGGTTGTAATTGATATGTGGACATCTTACAAAATTGGTTTGGGAAATGGCTAAAAACTTTTAATACCATATTGTCATACACCTATTGTTTTAGTCTATGTTGTAAGAATCGGATCGGACTGGACGGATCGACCCAAAACTAAATGACCCACGACTTATTTTTGTTGATAATAATTACCTCTCATAAAAAATAGTATTGCTACTTGTAGAGTCTGTCCTCCTCCAGAACCACATCCGTGCTAAGAAGAATTTTGTGAAAAGGTTTTTATTTCAATTTTATTTATCCTTTAGTTGTACCTATTTTTCTTTACTTCAAGTAGGTTTGGTTTGGATATTTAGATTTATGGAGTACTTTTGATAGGGAATGTTTTAGCTCCGATTATTTTAAGCTTATGTTTGCCCGTTTTGTGTCTAGCGGACTAGATTGATTTGTAAGAGGTGGCTAATTTTATGTATATTCCTAGGGCTTACAAATTTACGATCGGTCTGACACAACTGTCTGGATGTTATTAATATAAAAAGATGCTCTATTATATTAAAAAATGAAGTGATATATTCGTATTTATCATTCATCTAATTTTGAATATATTTTACATATATTATTTAAAAGTATGTTTTAGACTAATAGTCTTCCACTGTTGACCGATTTGATCCAATGGATCCGGGTTGACCCGTGACTCGGTCATTCAGCCACGTCGTTTCTAGTCCTGTTTTTATAAGGGAAAAGGGGCAAATAAGCCCACGTACTAACAAAAAAAGGTCAAATAAGTCCTTATTTAGGAGGCTCTGTCCGGCCATCACCATCTGGGGAGGTTCCCGATGGAATTTTTTGATGAAATTTTTTAAGCATCTTATTCATTGAGTCTAGTTTACTCATACCAAATTTTATCTAACAATTCAATCAGGAAGGCATTCAAATGAATTCTTGAATATAACTGCATTTTTAATTGCACAGTTATCTTCAAGAATTCATTTGAAAGCCTTCCGGATTAACATGCTCAAAAACATTCATCAAAACATTCTATCCGGAACCGCCCCAAATGACGAAGTCCGGACAGAGTCTCCTAAATAAGGGCTTATTTGACCTTTTTTTTATTAATACATGAGCTTATTTGACCCTTTTCCCTTTTTATAATATAGGTTTTGGTTAAAGATGAAATAAGTTCTTCCAAAAGCTCATGAGGCCTTATAATATACGGATTACGGAGTATGTACTAATGAAAATCAGAGGAATCCGTCCGGGTTTAAGGTAATGTTATAACGTTACAGAGGAATCAAGTGCTTAGGTTACCCTACAGATTCTGTAAGAAAGAAAAAATCCCCAACAACCCTCATCTTTGTCTGGCAGCTGAATTTCCTAATGTTTGTGTAAGTTCTGATTATTCTCTGCATTTGCAATTTTTTCCGGTAACCGATCAATCAATTGCGAGTATGATGCTTAAAGAGAGTAAGAACTCCAGCGAATCTGAAAGCAAATACAGAGAGCATAATAGTAGTACTATCGATTCCGAAGAAATCAATCGTCTTCACACAGATGAGAGAAACTTTGAAAAATATGAAGAAAGGGGTTTAGATTTTCTTGGGAAGTCAACCTCAGAAATGAGAATGAAAATGGCATGTGAAGGTCGTTCCTCTGGTGCTGATGTTTCCCAATCCAAGAAGACCGGGTCTTCCGGTGGCTATCAAGAGCTTACTCTGAGCTACCTCTGTGATAGTAACTCCAAACTGGGTTTTTTAGATAGAGATGCGCCCTTTAAGAAAACTAATGATTATAAGGGGAAAGAAGTAGTTGTTTCCGAGGATTATCACATTGATGAGGGTAACAGATGGGTAGAGAGAGATTTTCTTCGCCTGAACGAAAATTACTCTAAGAGGGAGTCTGAGAATGAGGAAATTGAGGCAGGAAATGTGGATAGGAAGCCAAAGATTGAAACTTTGAACCTTTCTCTGGCCTTGCCTGATGTTTCACTCTCCATGGCTGGGTCAAACCGTGTCCCAAATGGAGATCTCCCCTCACTCCTGAGGTCTTACCGGAGCATGCAAGAACCAACACATAATAACAATACCCAGACAACATATTCAAATGATTTCACAGCTGCCTCACTGTCATACTCTCATTCACACCCGTTTTCACACAACCCCAGTTGCTCACTTACCCGAAACTCAACTGAAAATTATGAGTACTCTATTTGGAATTGTGGGGAGGGTACAAACGGATCGGTCCATAGCCGTTTTAGACCAATTGGAGACGGTCATGTTGCACTGTCTAATCACACTAGTGGAACTTTTGCCTTTGGAGGTGGTGGCGGTGTGGTCACTAAGGAAACATGTAATAACAGCTTCTATAGGACTACCACAAGTTCAGACAACAACTCTATTTTCCCTTCTGAGTTACCCGCAAGGCCTAGGGCGGATGGTCAATCAGGAGGGGAATCAATGGTGAAAGAGTCAAGGCCCGAGAGGATTCTTAGAGAGATTGTGTCTGAGAGTGCACCAGTAATGGCTCAGATAATTCAAGAACTTCCAGATGAAACCATCAAATCAACAAAGAAATATTTGAATAACATAATTACCATACCGGAGAGGAAAGCTGAATTAGTGGGGTTGCAAAGCCGGCTTGAGAGGAGGTCGGACCTTACTAACGGGGTTCTATTGAAATGTAACAAGAATCAGCTTGAGATCTTGGTTTCCCTTAAGATGGGTCTTGGAAGCTTCTTATCAAGCAAGACCAATATGTCCACTGCCGAACTAGTTGAGATTTTCGCACTCGAGAGGTGCCGGAATGTAAGTTGCAAGAGACCATTACCCGTTGAAGACTGTGATTGTAAGATATGTTCTGCCAAGAAAGGGTTCTGCAGTGAATGCATGTGTCCTGTTTGTTTGAATTTTGACTGTGCCAACAACACTTGCAGTTGGGTGGGGTGTGATGCATGTGCACACTGGTGCCATGCGGTTTGTGGCATCGAAAGAAACCTCATAAAGCCTGGCCCACGCTACGATGGGCCCTCCACGATGACCGAGATGCAGTTTTACTGTCTTGGCTGTGGTCATGCTTCGGAAATGTATGGGTTTGTTAAAGATGTTTTCAAGTCGTGTGCGAAGGAATGGGAAGAAAAAACCCTTATGAAAGAGCTGGACTGTGTTCAAAAGATATTTCAGGGGAGTGAAGATTTAAAAGGGAAGGGACTTCATGCTAAGGCTGAAGAGCTGCTCATTAAGCTTGAGAAGAAGACTATGTCTTCTTCAGATGTTTGCAGTTTGATTTTCCAGTTCTTCAATTGTAAGTATCCAGCTTCGCTCCTCCTGTCATCCTTTATAATAGGTATTTTTTGTGATGTTTTTTATTATCCCGGATTTCTCGCTCTTTGTTCTCATCACTGTTGGTGACTTCTTTTGTTGCTGATCAAAGGAACTAAGAGAGACTGTATTTTCTCTATCTGAAAATCAGACTTTAATGTAAAGTTATTAGGATATGAGTTTAGCATTACTTTGGACCCTTGGTATCAAATTCGGCATTCTCATGTAAAACACTAGGGCTATGTTTGGAATGTGAAAATTGTGATAGTTTATGAGCAATATAGCCATTGGAAAAACAGTAAGATAAATGTTTTTAAAGTTTGATTTCGCCTGGAAAAATATGATGACAAATTAGATGTGTTTAATTTTTGTAAACACACCTAAATAATCTTTCTCTAAAGTAATGCTATTCAAATTAAATCTTTCTTAGGATATGAGTGGAGAAATACTTTGGACCCTTCATATGGAATTTGTCATTCTCTTGTAAAATAGTAAGGCTATGTTTGGAACCTGGAAAATGCTAGGGAAATGGGAAAAAGGTAAGGGAAATGTTTTTTGTTTGTTTGTTTTGGTTTAGCCTTGGAAATTACATCTAGACTTCTTAATGTTTACAAAACAGAAATATATAAATAAAATGAGTTCGAACAAATATTCAAATTGATTTATGTATTTTTTATTCATTTTTTTAAATTTCTTTCAATTTTTCTTTCCTTATCATTATTCATTTACTGGTTCCATTGAACCCTAGTTGAATTCCAATCATTGGAACATATAGACTTCATAGTGATTGAGTGATAGTTAATGAGCAATATAGCCATTCGGTTGCAAGTACTTATGACATTGTTTTAATTTTTTCCAATCATTGCAAGATTAATGCAGTAACACTCACTGACTTTTCAAATATAACATAGTATTCCATGCAATTGAACATTGATGTTGATGATATAAGGAACCATTGGTATGGCTTAACTCAGCGCTACCTTTTTACTACACAAGGAACCATGTTCCGCTTTATGTAGTGAAACATAAAGACCTATGGTTCTGTCCTGGGAAATAAGATGGGTTTACTGCTATGCCAAAAAAGAGAGTAAGCGAGGATTAGCATGCCATCATGCACTTAGGAGGCGTTTACTTCGCTGCTAAAGTCACAGTTAGGTGAGTAAGACAGGTGAAGTAAACACGCACGCTGCTTAAAAAGCCGCTTACTAACCGAAATAGGTGCTTAAAGTGCCGCTTACTAAGCCTACCACACCCCCATGTATTAATTAAGCGGCACTTTAAGCTTTTTCAGTTTCCGAATTTACCCCTTGCCCTTACCCTATTGTTACCCCTGACCCACCTACCTACCGACCCCACCTTGACCCCAACCCCACCTACCCCACCCCTACCCTACACCTTCTATCCCGACCCCACCCTACCCTTACCCTTACCCCACCCCTACCCCCTACCTTACCTACCCTACCTAACCGACCCCCACCCTACCCTTACCCCACCTGACCCCACCTTACCCCTACCCTACCCCATCCTACCCCTACCCGACCCCACCCTACCACTACCCTACCTACCAGACCCCACCCCTACCCTACCTACCAGACCACAAACCTACCCCACCCCTTACCCACCTACCCAACCCCACCCTACCCCTACCCTATCCGACCTCACCCTACCCCTACCCTGACCCTACCCCATACCCCGCCTGGACCCCACCCTACCACTACCCCACCTACCCAACCCCACCCCTACCTTACCTACCTGACCCACCCTACCACTACCTGACCGCAGTCACCCCACCATACTCTTACCCCACCTACCCCATCCCACCATATACCCCGACCCCACCCTTTACCCCCACCCTATACCTAGGGTGGTGGGGTTGGGGTGGTGGGGTCGGGGTGGGGCCAATGTGATAGAGGCGCTAGGGGCAGAGTAGGTGCGGTGGGGTCGGGGGTAGGGTTGCGGCAGAGTGGGGTCGGGTAGGGTAGGGGTAGGGTGGGATTGGGTAGGGTAGTGGTAATCGGGGTAAGGTAGGGTAGGGGTAGGGGCGGGGTTGGGGTAAGGTAGGGTAAGGTGGGGTCAGGGTGGGGTCGATGCGGTAAGGGGGTATGGGGGTAGGGGCCTATGGGGTTGGGGGTAGGGTCGCGGTAGAGTGGGATCGGGTAGGGGTAGGGTCGGGTAGGTAGGGTAGGGTGGGTAAGGGGTTAGGGGGTATGGGTACACATTTATATTATATACTTGTGTTCATGAATGTTTGTGTGTGTATATATGTATAGGGTTATTTTGGACATTTTAATGTTAAGCGGTGTTTTAAAACCGTTTGAAGTAAACATAGTCTTACAACATTGTTTATTTTATGCACCGCTTATTAACACGGGTCTTAATAAGCACCGTTTAATAACCGGTGAAGTAAACGCCTCCTTAGTCATGAGATTTAAAACCAGACCGAGTGGACCGAGAATGACTGGTAAACCAGGTGAATCTGTGTGAAATATGATCGCTCGTGAACTGACAGTTTTTCTGGTGTTAGCAACATGACATTTTAAAAGCTCATAATGGTTATTTTATCACATTTTCCTAGCCGAGATGGTAATATTGATAGTTCTGGATTTTCTACTATTTAGGTGACATCTAAGATTTTATTTTAAAAAAACATTTAGAAGAGGTGTAATTAATGTTAATTGTTAGTGCTGAAGTTGCATATTTTTTCCTTTTCTGTTGGATGAACTGTGTTGGGTTGAACTTCTACTAATTTTACTCCCTCAGTTCCATTTGACCAAATAGATCGGATCATCCTACCATGTAATATGTTTCATTTAACTGCTTATAAATGGCAGGACTTTTTATTAGAATATTACTAAAAGGAAAACAGAACACAAATATATGTCTTGTCTATGTTTTCCAAACAAGTGGCTAATTACATTAAAATGTCCTTATTTATTATGACATTTATTATTTCAATATAATATTTATTGGGGCTGTTAGGGGACATCAAATTTTAAAGAGAAAATAATTAGGTCTGGGACCGATTCGGTTCTTATATGAAATTAGTGGAACCGTTATAAAAAAAACTTAAGTAATTAAATCTGTTCGGTTCTTATGTAAAATTTCAAGAACCGTTATGTAACCAAACCAATAGTAAACGGTTCGGTTCTTACTTTTATCGGTTCCTAAACACAAAAAAAATCATAAAAAAATTAACACGACTTACTTTCTACAACGCAACAACTTACTATGATATACTATCCTCTGTTCCTTAATTCTTGCAATAGTTTGACTTTCACGTTTGCCAACGCACAACTTTGACCGTAATTATATTTAATTACGTATTAGTTAACATTATAAAAAGTTGATATTTTTGCCCTTGACATTGCCACATATGCCACGTATACGTAATAATTTGCTTATGTATATTAGTAGAAAATCGTGGTCAAAGTAAGGTTTGTGAATAGTGTAAAAATGACATTGTTGCAAGAATTAAAGAACGGAGGAAGTATGTTACATGCCACTTCAGATGGTGAACAAATTTTATGAAGTTTGTGCTACATAGTTTTCTCGTTTTTGTAAACACCATTCTTTTGTCCGTCACTTGTATTTTGAGGATTTTCTTATAGTATTAGTAAAATTTAATTGGTTGAAAAAAATATGATTATCACAGCAAGAATACCACCATGTTGTCACTGCAGTGTAAAATTGAACCTCACCATAGTTACCGCAGTCGCAACAAAAATACCACTATGATCACTGCTTTGTCATATTTTTGTCTATTATTTTTACTGTTATTACAATTATTATTATTGTACATGTGAAAGTTGATTTTTTTTAAAGATGTGAAAGTTGTAGTATATAAAGTTGTATTTTATTCTGAACTTCAGCGTCTAATTCTCTGTCGGGTTTGAATAACAGACACAGATGGATTGACAGACTTCCCGGTCTCCAACTATCTTTCAAAAGGCTTTTCAAGTCAATCAGATATGAAAAAAGATGCTGCCAGCCTTCATACTTCAACTGCTCCCACCTCCCTTACTCTGAAACCATCATCTTTCTACGACTTGAAGAACTCTACCAGCAATAGACACAATTCAGCTGAACATCAAAACGAAACAAAGCTTGCCGCTTTCATGAATAATAATAATAATAATAATAATAGTAATGACCAAATGGTTAAAGATGAATGGTCTGTGAAGGCGCCGAAGAAAGATGCAGCTGCTGCAGCAGGACTTGACACTCTGGAAAGTGTGGTGCGTATTAAGGAGGCTGAAGCGAGGATGTTTCAGAACAAGGCGGACGATGCACGGAGGGAAGCAGAAAGCCTAAGGAGGATGGCTGTGATCCAAAGCGAGAAGCTGGAGGAAGAGTACACTGGGAAGATGTCTGAGTTGTGCCTTCTGGAAACTGAGGAACGAAGGAGGAATAAGTTGGAGGAGCTGAAGACGCTTGAGAATGCTCAATGTGATTACTATAAAATGAAAATTAGAATGCAGAGTGAGATCGCAGGCTTGCTCAAGAGAATGGAGGCCACGAAGCAGCTTTTCGTGTAAGCCGCTCCAACTCTAACAATTTTTGAATTGTCATTTACTATATCCTTTTTTAGATGACTTTTCTGGTGGGGTTGCCCGGGGTTCATTCAATGCTCTACTTTTTCGCTCCTAAGCCCTTACCAAGTTTTATGTGCTTGAAGTTTTTGTTTTTGTTTTCTTTATTAATCTACATCTTTATTTTTTAGTTCCTAATGGCGATTTTTTCTTTATTAAAAACTGATTGTGGATAATGTTGAATGGCTTGCATGTTGGGAGCTAAGGTGGCCTAACAAGTCACTTGTTGTATTAAACATTCCTTCTTTGAATTGTGTAGTACGTAATATATCTTTGTCTGCTCTAAGATGTTCTTTCTGAATTGGCAATCCTGAACCAGAACCGATTCTGGTATCCAGTTATTATCGGTACAGTTCCGGTATCGATTTTCAGAGATGATTATGAAATTGGGGAGGAACGGAACCGGGTCCGGATGTGGATTGGTCAGTTCTATGTGATCCAAACCTGACTAGTTCATTGTTCTAGGCCATAACTTAAGGGGAATCGGCCAATCCGGAACTGCAACTGGCCAAGGTCCATCCCTAGTTGCGGTTCTTCACAACTCACAAGACGAGTAAGGCTCTGAAGCATCATTTCTAAGTTTCTAACCGCTGTTTCACAAAGGAGGAGATGACGCTTAAAACGAGAGCAGAACAGATCACGCCCCTTTCCTATCACCATTCATATAGACCCAATCCAAGCAGCCATAAAAACTCTAACATGATCTTTCTCTCGGTCAAACATTATTCCTTGAAAATAACTCGAGATGATGAAACAACCTCCTTCACAAATCACAATGGATGCTTTTGCTCAAACATTATCTCTTGAAAATAAATCAAATTGCATATTTCTAATTCAAACTTGTAGTGTCCATACAGTTTTTGTTAGGAACAGTTCGGATTGAGTTTGTATACCGTGGTACCAGTATACCATGCGCATGGTATACCGGCACCAAATACGATATCGTTTCTCTTTTCTTGAGAGCATTACAGATTTTCTTTTCCTTCAATCCACTACAGGTTTTCTCATCCTAGGAGCACTACATATCTTTTACTTTGTTTTCTCTCAAGCCTCCAGGATTCTTTGTCTTTTTCTTTTCTTCAATTCTTGTCCCCTCTTCACCAAAAACTAAAAATTAATTGTAATTTTACTTATCTTTATCTTTAACTAATAAAATCACAATTGAAGTGACTTTTTTTCTTTACCAATTTATTACAAAATTTTGTTAATTAAATAAAGTAAGTATAGTGTATTTCATAATTATATACTAATATGATTACTTTTTTCTTCAACTGAAATTACTACCAAATTTATTTTTTGTGTAATATTTTTTATATTTATACACTTTTTTGGTAAATACTTTTCATATAATATATTTCTATAATATATTTCTTATCACTTTGCAAAAAAAAAAAGATATATTTCTTTCTATTATGTATTTAGTGATTTCAAGACATTAAATTTGTTTATTTCAATTTAAATTTGATAAAATATGAAATTACATTTTTCACATGTGTGAGTTATGTTAATAAACAATTTTTGGAGTAACATTTGATAGTCTTTTTTGGAGTTACATCTTTTTATACACGCGTTACATCTTCTTATGCGCGGGTTACATCTTAAAAATGATATAGCTTTAAAAATCATTTTTTATCATTAGCAAGGTTTTATTTTGTGGTGTAACTCACGTACATTAAGATGTAACTCACGCATAAACAGATGTAACTCGCGCATAAGAAGATGTAACCTCACATAATATTAAATGTAAATGAAAATAAGATATTTAATTGTTCAATTAATTTAAGTATAGAGTGAATATGTTTGGTTTTTAAGATCAAGGCCATAAAAGTTTTTTAAGAAAAATCATTTTTTTTGCCAAAAAAAATTATTTTACAAAAAAGTTTTTTTTTGTTTCAATAGCATTAGTTTATTTTGTGATGTAACTCGAGTTATGGAAACTATAACTCGCGTTGATGGAAAATCTAACTTAGGTGTATGGAAAATGTAACTTGTTGAGGCAAATTCAAATGTAACTCGCACATAAGAAGATGTAGCTCATGCATAAACAAATATAACATTATAACTCGTGCACAAAAAGATGCAACTTCATATACTATCAAATATAACTCCAGAAATTGTGTACAAACATTATTCACACATATGAAAAATGTAATCTCATGTTTTATCAGATTTAAATCGAAATAAACAAACTTAATGGCTTAAAACCGTTACAAACATATAAAATAGATAAAAAAAAACAAATTTTTTAAAAAAAGTGTATGAATATGAAAAATATTTTACAAAAAAGTGTATAGATGTAAAAAACATTACACCAAAAATAAATTTGTAGTGCTTATTTTATGTGGATTAGGAAAACTTTGTATTAAATTGGTAAGGAAAAAAATTAATTCAATTTTAGTTTAATTAGTTAAAGATAAATACAAGAAAAATCATAATTAGTTTTTAATATGTAGATAGAGAGAAGAAAATAATTGGAGAAAGCAAAATAGAAAAATAAAGAGATAGTGCTCCAAAGAAATCTGGAAAACTTGAGTCTTGAAGGAAAAGAAAGGAAAGAAACGTAGTGCTCCAGACTAAAAGAAGGAAAAACGGCGACGTATGTGGTATTGGTATACCATGTGCATGGTATACCCGTACCACGGTATAATTTGTCGTTCGGATTAGCCAAACAGAAAAAGCTACTCCGTATTTTTTATAAAAAAAAGTATACTGAGGAAGTTCATGAGAATGGAGATGTGAAAATCTTTTACTTAAATATTAGAAATAATTACATAAATATGACCAAAATAAAGATAGTTTACAATAATATGACTAGTTACTAAAGTAGTAATGAAATTATAGTAATTCATGTTCAAGTTTTGAACTTAAGTTACTACAACACTACGTTGTAGTAATGAATAGTCATATTTGTGTAAATAAGTTTTATTTTAGTAATATTCTTGTAAAAACCTCTAAATATTATGCATTTATGCCCTCAAAGTTCAAACGGCTAAAACTAATTGGCTAAGCTCAATAACCAAAGATATCTGCGAAAACAGCTAAATTAAAAAAGTGGTCAAAACAGCTAATATAAGCGGCTAGCATCTAATCTAATAGCTAATCTTTTTACAAATAGCCGATTGCCAAAAGGGGAAACTATATGTCTATATGTAGAGCTCGTTTGGTAATATTGAAATCGGCTGAATGGATTGATCATGCTAAATTTATGAAGTTCTGACTGAGGTGATTGTATTGGTTGATTCTGCTAGTTTGTGAAAAAAAATATTTAAAATATATTTTAGTAATAAAATAAAGAAAAATTATATGAAAAAATAGTTAAATGATCATGTACACTAACTTAAGCCAATATAGCCAGAAATGTAACTCCAACTTTACTTTTCCTTATTATGACACAATCTAGTGCGCGAAATTAAAAGTTACTCCCTCTGTCCCAAATTATAAGATACTTTTTGGTTTACGATGTTTGACCGACGATAAAGCAAACAGATCTCTGTGTGCACTCAAATTAATTTTAGGAAAAAAAAAGAATTACATATTCAGAAACTACATTAAAACCGCTACAAAACCTGCAAAAAAATAATTCAAATTTCATAAAATTTTGATATATAAAGGAAGAGATTAAGAGTGATTTGCATTGACCAAGTGAATAGTAAAGACATCTTATAAAATGGGACAGAGAGAATACGTGTTTGGTTAAAAAGTTGAGTGATATGCTTGATAAGCCGAAAAACTGAGTCGTAACTTATTGGCTCTTTTTCAACCTTTTACAAATGTCCATTTTTGTCATTTCGGCCACTCCACCAATACAAATGGTTTAAATAGTCGTCTGTATTACTCCGTATTTCTTTAAGGTCGGTCACTCTTGGAGCATTCTATTTAAACATTGTACTTTTTTTTCAAAATGTTAATTTATTTCTTGATGAAATTGACAACATTAAACTCTACATTCATCATTCACCAATTAAACAAAAATAATCCATACTTCAAATTTTTTCATGAATAATCCGAAGGCAGAGCATGTCATCCATGCGCCCGAATTAGAATAAATGAGATGTGTTTCCGTCCAAACCAGAGTTACGTGAATATAGCTGGAGCAGATCTAATTTTTCTCCACCCTCCTAGTCTTTCATCTCCATCTCTAAAACCTGAAGAAATAATTGTGAAAGGGAATGAAAATCTTAAAAGCGAGTTGGAGAAAATTTAGGCTGCGAAGAAATAAAATTGTTGTTGGAGAAAATCATATGTGAGCTTCGACTTATGCCATTTGAGGAATTGAGGGTGAGTAATTGCATGTTGGATTTATGGGGAAGGCCGCAGGAAAATAATAAAGAGAAATACACATAAAGCTGGTCTTATTTATTTTATTTATTTGGACATCATGGGAAGTTTGGATTATTCATGTAATAGTTTGAAGTAGTGGTTATTTTTGTTTAATTTGTGAAAGTAGGGATTAATCTCAGTTCCTATATTATACACCCATCCTGGGTTTTTTGTAATTTGATTCATCTTTAAGTCTAGTTCATATGCTGCCAATCCTACAAACTTTCGCTGCAGTGTCTGCCAATTTTAGCTCAGCGCCGGTTCTTAATTTAGCATTTATGTGTTTTAAATTTTTAACTAGTCAATCCACCCGTGCGTTGCACGGATAAAAGATGAAATAATTTATTTTAAAATAATTCATAAGAAATGTGTATATACATAGTTATTGTATAAACATATGATATAAAAATAAATTAGAGTCCATGTATGATACTACTTCATCCGTCCCACTAAAATTGTCTCATTTTTCCTTTTTAGTTTGTCTCATTAAGATTGTTTTATACCAAATTTGGTAACGTTGGTATGATTCTAAATCATTCATACTTTACTCGCATTTTATCAATTCAATATCAGCCACATAAATCATTAGTGGGTATCATAGTATAGAAATTTTTATAACGATATAGACCAATCATATGAATTGTAGATCGACATGCTATGTTTACTTATTAGTGAGTTATCAATGTATTGACCCTTTTATGTTTTTTCAATGTATTGTTGTGAAAGTGGCTATTTATTTCCTTATAATTAATTTCTAGTTCAGTTAAGTTCAAATTCGTGTTAAATTTGATAAAGTACAATCATATTCTCCTTATTCAATTGTCTGCATCTAGCTAGTAAGGATTGAATTCTTTTTAATATAGTTACTTATTTACTAATGGATAAATTTATTTAAATCGTCTTTTTTTATGGATAGATGTAATAGAATTAAATGAATGCATTTTTATTTTATTTTGCAACT